AATTCCTGTGCCGCCCAAGGTTGCATGCCCCATTCAGCAAAACAAAAGTCCCACATTTAAACAGATCTGTCTTAGGAGGCAATTTATCAGCCATAAATTGCTCTTCACGCATGAGCTCCTCACCCCATCTATCTATTCGAGCAGACATTATTTCTTCCCGCTAATACTATATTCTTCCTGAGAGGAGCTCTCCACCTCATTACATTTTCAGGAATGTTTAGCACCCTTTATAATTTGGCACCCTGGGAAGCTCCCCAGAAGCCCCCTCCTCAGCCTGGCTCTGTGCATTCAGATGCCTTGCAAGCAAGTGCCTCTAACAGAGTTGGGCTCTGAGGTGACAGGAAAGAGCTGAAAATGAAGAATAATATTTCCATAAGCCCATGCGGAAAAAAGCATGAAGGGCACCTCTTAAGATTCTGGTGTGCACGCCATCAGCCAGAGGGACAATGTAAGAAGATATTTAGGTATTAGGGAAGACAAATTAATGGAGGTGGCGGGGAACTCAAAAGTCAAGACCAGGGAAAAGTCCAGGTATCTCTTTCTTCAAATCAACTGAAAGCCAATGATCTCTCTTTAAAAATGTCCATTTATGAATAATAAATACTAAGAAAGGATGGAAACAAATATACATACCCAATCCCCAATCATTTCAACTACGGGTTCAATCTTGAATGATTGCCATGACTGCTTTGTGATGGAATGGCTTCCTTCCTTGTTTCCAAAGGAGAAAGGTTTAAAAATAAGTCTACTTATTGGGACTTACCGATTCCTGTGGATTTGCACAAATGAACTTCAAGTTTCTACAGACAAAATGAACTATTGACTAAGTAGAAAAAATGTTTGGAAGGAGAAATCGGAATCCTTCCCCAAAGTAAATGTATCTCACAATAAAGAGGAAAAATAAAATATTTAGATTTAAATATCTACCTAGTTCTCTGCCCTCCTATAAGAAGACATTTTTTAGAAAATTCCAATTATTTAAACTTTTGCTTTAATTACTATAATGAAATATTTGATTTATGTGCTGTATTAATTTCTGTCTCCTTCAGAGTAAAAGGAAATCAGAGACACATCTTTACTTGTGCTGAAATACTTGAGAGAAAAGTATGATCTACTACCCCATATGAGTGTTTTGGCATTTATAGGCAATACTAACCATATATTCGACTTTAGTTTTCCAAGTGTAAAAAAAACCTCCCCCAGAAAATTTTGATAAATTCTAGTGAACTAAATGAGGAACAATTGTTAATCTTTGAAACACTATGCATTACTCATAGCGACAATAGCAGTTTACGTTTCTATGGAAATTGTTTTGACAGCATGGTAAATTTCCTTCTGTAGATAAAGAACATGACTCTATACAACATTATTGTGAGGCTGGCAGGTTTTATGTTCCTGACATGGGGTATAGGGAATGAGACATAGAAAGAGATGGTCATTACACTGAAAGAGAGTGTTGAAGAAAGGGGAGGAAAGATGGTTTGCTTGCAGGTTCCATAATCTGTAGACTAAGAAACTGACCAATTTTTCTTCTCATGAAATTAAATATTTTCTGTAATATTTATTATCTAATCCAATGAAGTATAAAATAATAAAATATATAAAGTAATAAATATATTACCCACAAGTATTCGAAGAATAGAGTTGATATAATTTGTCCTCAAATGCAGTGTTTCTCAAACTGTGATCCATTTGTATTAGATTCACCCAAGAAGCTTGATTAAAATGATTGGGATTGCTGGAGATTTTGTTTAGTAGGCTTGGAGCAATGCTCTGGAATAAATGTATTCAGTTCATACTCCAGATGATTCAGATAGTCCTTTGGAATCCTTGATGTAGTACAATTTTCCTGGCTATTGTTCAAACCTTTCCAGATCTAATTTTTGTTGTACTTTTGCCTGTATGAACATTCCCCTCCTATTTTTCTTCAATTTCAGAGGCCATACATGACACTATTGTAAGAGTAAAACCCTTCTGGCAACTTCTAGAGACAATGTTCACTTTAATGTGAAATGTATACATGGGAGAAAAACAAACATTGATCACAGCCCAAAATGCTACTAGTTCTCACTTTCAGATGCTTCTAGGACTTGATATTTCATTACACTTTGCTTCTAAAGGTGGGGTTTACTCTAATTACTTCCATGGTTTTCTCCTCCTTCACCAAAGGTAAACCTTGGAGCAGTAAGTAACGATGAGACTAATATGACTGTGAATCAGGTGGGCTCAATTCATTCATTAATTACCTAAGTACTTAATGATTATTAGCCATACATTTGTGAACATTTCTTAAGGAAAAAGAGGCCAAGAGTATGAGGTTACTTCAAAATACATTTGTTTATGGTGTTTTCGTGGCCTGGAAAATCTACATCCTGATGAGTCCAGCGACAATAACAACATAAATGAAAGGAGAGCTGATTAACAGAATGAATCTACCACATCCTGTATGTGTTATTTATGTGTGCATGGATAAAATCAGGGTTTTAGACTTGTCCATGTCCCTTTTCAACTTGATTTATCTGAGGGAAAAATGACAGTTGAGATCTTCAAAGAAGGAGTAGGACGTTCCATGCAAGGCTGTGGTCTCTTCTTCTGATAAGCTGACATGTGCGGCTGGAAGCATACTTTGTGCTTTGATCTATGCTGAGACAAGCTGGGCCCAACAGTCTAGGGTTGTAACTACAGTACTTGTTGGAAGGTTGCTTTTATAAAAATTAATTTTATTTTTAGTTGATAAATAACAATTGTATATATTTATGGAGTACAATGTGGTGTTTTGATACACATATACACTGTGGAAAGAGTAAACCAAGCTAATTGGTATATCCATCACCTCAAATATTTATCATTTCTTTGTGGTGAGAACATTTGAAATCCTCTCTTTTAGCTGTTTTGAAATATACATTATTTTTAAGTATAGTCATTATGCTGTGTCATTGCACAGCATGGCGACTATAGTAAGGTGGCTTTTAAAAGACCAATCAGTAAACGAAATCAGAGATTTTTCTTGATCTAATTGGGCCCCAGTTTCCTTATCTGTTAATTGGGAGTTAGAAGTGGTGGTTTCTAAAGATGCCTACGTCTAATATTCTATGGTGTTACATTAGTTTGTTTTCACTTATTCCGCAAATATTTTTTGATTACCTACTGTGAGCTAAGGACCAGGATATAGCTGTAAAAAATATAAATATTGTCTCCGCCCTTCCGAATCTTACATTGTAGGGATGTGGCAGGGAGGAAACAGACACAGATATTAAAGGACTCATTACATTCATAATTTATTATAATTGTGATGCGTGCACTGAAGGGGAAATAGAGGCAGGCTGCTGTGACCTGGTTCAGTAGAGAGTCATCAGGGAAGGTTTCCCTGAGGAGGTAACATTATAGACCTGGATGACTAATGGGAATCAGGCTGAAGAAAAGATGGACCAAGAAGATTCCTGGCAAAGGCCATGAGGTGGGATAGAGCCTGGCACAACTGAGAAGAAGAAAAATGAATTCTGTAACTGAAGAGAAGGGGAGGGGCGGCATGGCCTGGGAGAAACTGGTAGTGACCATCTTATGCAGGGCCATGAGCAGGAATTTATATTTTATTCTCAACACAATGGGAAGCCATGGAGGGTTTTACAGATCACTCTGGGGATGGACAGATAGATCAATAATGGTAAACAAGTATAGTCAAATGCGAATGGCAGAGCTGAATTTGGATGGTGGATATGAGAGTGTTCACTATAAAGTTCTTTCAACTTTTCTGTATATTTGAACATTTTAAAATAACATGCTGAGACAAATCACTCTGGTCACAGTAAGAGGAATGGATTGAGGGAGGACAAAATTGGTGGCATAGATGGCAGTTAGGAGACTGCTGCAATAATCTTGGAGACGGGTGATGGTGGCTTGGACTAGGGTGGTGCCATGCAGACAGTGAGAATTGGACAGGAAAGAGGAAGACTTAACTTTTCACGATTTTGAACTATTTGAATTCTGTGCCATTCACATGCATTACCTATATTTAAAAATACTATTTGTAGTTCTAGCCCATACTTTTGCCTTTTTTTTTTTTTTTTTTTTTGAGACAGAGTCTCGCTCTGTCGCCCAGGCTGGAGTGCAGTGGCGCAATCTCGGCTCACTGCAAGCTCCGCCTCCCGGGTTCACGCCATTCTCCTGCCTCAGCCTCCTGAGTAGCTGGGACTACAGGCGCCCGCCACCGCGCCCGGCTAATTTTTTGTATTTTTAGTAGAAACGGGGTTTCACCGTGGTCTCGATCTCCTGACCTTGTGATCCGCCCGCCTCGGCCTCCCAAAGTGCTGGGATTACAGGCGTGAGCCACCGCGCCCGGCCCAACTTTTGCCTTTTATTTCCAAGAGCAACACCAATAGGTTTCTGATAGATTTTTGCATACTTGAGTTTTGCATTATGGGAATACCTAGTTAGATGTTGGATTTTATGAAATCATGATACAGAGAGTTGCTCTATGTGTGGCAAAGATCTGAACACATAAAGTTCATGCTCTTCTTGAGTTCAAGTTATAAATTTTAAGATTTATTATTTTTCATATTTATTATTATTATTTTTTGTTTGTTTGTTTTTTTGAGATGGAGTCTTGCTCTGTCACCCAGGCTGGAGTGCAGTGGCGCAATCTGGGCTCACTGCAAGCTCCGCCTCCCGGGTTCACGCCATTCTCCTGCCTCAGCTTCCAGAGTAGCTGGGACTACAGGCGCCTGCCACCTCGCCCGGCTAGTTTTTTGTATTTTTTTTTTTTTAAGTAGAGACGGGGTTTCACCGTGGTAGCCAGGATGGTCTCGATCTCCTGACCTCGTGATCCGCCCGTCTCGGCCTCCCAAAGTGCTGGGATTACAGGCTTGAGCCACCGCGCCCAGCCTTCATATTTATTATTAATGAATAAATCCACTTTGTTGTGTCTATTCCAGATATGCTTCCAGATTTCACCATCACCACCCTCTTACCTCCCCTAAAAATGTAATTGAAGACAGAATGAGTCACATCAAGTCTGAAGACATTTTATTTTTCCTATGTGGGAAGCAATGATGATCTTACACTTTTTGTTTTCTGTTTTTAAGAAGTGCAGCACAGGGATATGTGCAGTTTTTTCTTTTAAGTACCTTGCTAAGCGACACTAGACTAATAACCATTTTCTAGAATTAGGTGACCTATTTCTGAATAAAATTGAAATTGGATTGCTTATTCCCTTACTAATAATAATACTAAATATATTCTTAAATCAGTTTTCAAAATTCAAGAGGAAATCTAGAAATATGGAACAACTAGCAGAAATAAGCCTGAAGCTGATTCTAGCTCTGTTACTACTAAAACTCAGTTTCTAAACTTTCAAGGATTTTATATGAATTCATATGAAAAAAATGAGCTCAGAGGCTAGAATATGACTCCAGAACATACCTTGGTCAGGTATGTTCATGCTCAAGTAATCGGACTCTGCTTCAAATTTCTTGACATATGCCCTCTTATCCACCTTAATAAGCATAGCATTATGCCAAGGACTGTAGTGAAAAAAGAACACTGGCCTAAGATTGATAGCCTGCATTTAAGTCCAGATTTAGTCACAGCCTCTATATGGCCTTGGGCAAGTTATCTCAGCTCTCTGAAATTCACGTTTGGAATCTGCAAAATGAGGAACTGGGCCTGAGGTTCCTTCTAGCTTTAACTTTCTTTGCATCTAAGTTTCGTGGCTCAAGCATCTGGAATTCCAAGTGAGAGAAGATATGGTAGATTGAACTGTTGGCCCCAATTCTTCATCCCTTCCTGCATCCTCACTCTTGTCATGGCATCACTGTGGGCAGTGCATATTTCCCTGCCTCTTCATGTTGGCCATCTGACTTCCTTTGACCAATGAGATATCAGTAGACATGACACAACCAGGGGCTGAAAATGTACCCGAGCAGTGGGGCTCATCCTATTGCAATTCTGCCATCCAGATGCTCTGGCTATCCCTTGGGCTCAAAGAGGATGAGGCATAAGAAGCCAACCTAGAACCTCAGGCCTGTAGCAGGAAGCAGAGGTGCCATAGCCAGTCTTCAGAACTATGAGAAAAAGGATTGTCATTTTAAGCCACTGACATTTGGTGTGTTTTTTTCATTCAGCATTATTGTGACAATGGTTAACCACTGCAAAAGGAGATAAGAAAAACTCAACGAAGGAGAAGACAAGGGGGGAGAGAGCAGATGGAGTCCTTGATTCTCTCCCATAACAGGGCAGAAGAGAAACAGAAGTAAAATAGCAGGTAGAGTACCTCCTTTTTCATTAAACTAGTCTCATCAATGAACACAATGTGAAAAGGTACATCAATTGACCATTATTTCTCATTCCCCTTTAGTTAATGGCTTAGAACATTTTATAAAATAAATGTTTACAACAGAGCTCTCTTAGGTCATCAGTAGGGTTACCCTACATCCCAATTTTCCCAGGTCAATTCTAATCAACATCAATTGTTCTGATGTAGTTATTTAGGTCTCTTTGTTCTCAAAAATAAACTGATTTAGATGATAAATTATATAGTAATCATAGAAAGCCCTGTCAGTCCATCTTGAAATACTACTTGGTTAATACACAAGTTTGCTGCAATAACAGGACAACCCCCTTGCTCAAGCAACCATCCCCACAATGCCTTCTTGAGAGCATGTGGATTCCTAGGGTGAGCAACAGTTGGCCAGTATCATTTCTTCTAACTTTTCAAGTGATCTACCTTCTCAGTGGTCCCCTTTCTCTTCAAAGGATTTGAGAAAATCTAAAGTAACTTATAATTAGCAAATGGAGGACCCCAATCTCAATTGTCGTTTCAAATGAGCTTGTGCCATTTCTTTTATGGTATAAACCCTATAAACCTTTGCACAATTTGCTCGTTGACAGGACAGAGTAGTACACTTTCTATCATCCAATCAAGAAGGCCCTGATTGGAAGAAAATATATGTTTTTTAGGCACTCAACAAGACCCTAAATGTTCATACTACTGACATCTCTCCCTTCATGTCCCGATACTGTCAGATGAGAAATGGCAGGGAAGCAGAATCCCAGGTCTCAGTTTGCTACTGGTAGGAAAAGACAGCCAGATAGGCCCTGGTGGCCTCATTCTTGGAGAACTGGTCCCTCTAGAGTCTACACTTTCCCATGCTGGAACGAAGCATGAGTACACCCTCAAAAGGAGTTCCAGGGTTGTTGGCCATCTTCTGCCAAAGGCGCTGCTCTTCCCCCTGAGAGTCCATCCAATCCACGTTCTTCCCATGGCTCACACCTGAAGAAACGAAATGGGAACATTATATGTCACACATGAAATGTTTTTCTCTCCTGCAAGGCATCTATCAACTTCTGAGGGGGCCTTTTGACCAGAGTACCTTTTACTGGCTTGTTCTCACTTAGTATATATAGTGAGTGGTGTTAGAATTGAATCAATCATTTGCAGCCTGCACTATTCTCTAATGCCTAGGCCATATGAGGCAAATCAGGGTGGCCCTGGTGACTCACTTCCTCCCTACTTTAGCAGAGAGCTGGTTCATCTGGACTGTGCTAACATGACAGAAGAACGGGATGAATTTGACTCTCTTTTTCTAACAAGGACACTTTTCTGACCTGGGGAGTTTTCCTTTTAGTGGTATAGATATTCTTGGCTCCCCTTAATCTATAAATAAGTAATTATCATAGTGATAGGACCTTCCTCAACAGAAATATTTACCATGGTGTATGCAGATGGTCTCATCTATGTCTGGCTTAGGCTATGGGATAATGAGAGTTAGGGGGACTGCACGTGCTCTACTACTGTAATCCCTTTTCCAATTCACCCTGTTACAGGTGTGTCTTGTGGCACCAGTGGTGGGTTTCCTTGATCTGTTTTTAACAACATTGGTGTTATTTTTATGAAAAAATGATTTCTTTTCAATTCAACCAGTATGAATAATAGCTGCAAGTGCTGGACAGAACTGAGAAGATGATGAAGTAATGTTGGTCTTGAAAGTCGCTGTCCTCCTATCAGAAGGCTGTGCTGTCTTGGTAATCATCTTCTGAGCAAAATCTGAAGCAAGGTCCAAGAAAGTACTTAAAATTCACTTAGACTAAAGTGTAAATGTTAGTCTATGAAAGGACTGAATGTCAACATTATATCTTCCAATCTTCTAGCCTAAGGATACAAAGGTACTGTAGTTATATTTGTATTTTAACAATGAATAGATCCTTAGCTAAAGGAATGAAGCATTTGTGGTAATTTCAGGATTTAGCTGAAACTACGTATGTATATCCACTGCACATCACACCTGCAAGAATAGTGCCCCCAAACGGACCCAGTCACAGACCATCCCTGTGGGTCCCCAAATCCCTCACCACTTCCAGAATTCAAACGAACTCCTCCCAGAAAAATGTTGCTGGAAAAGGCCTCCTTGTCCCAGATGGTAAGTTCTAGGCAAACATTCTTTATATCCTGGGGATGGATGCCACTGAACATGAATGTATGATTCCACTGAGGGTTAACACTCTTTTTTATTACCAGAGTTTTGTGCTTGGTGGCTTTGCTATCATCAGGGAGCAGGTAGCTGCAGGAGGAAAAACAATCAAACCATCAGTAAGACAGCAGACAGAAAATGTCAATGTGCACGCAAGTGTGATGTGTCTATCTGATTTTTCTTCCCAGGCTTCTATATGCTTAAATCTGGATTTATATAGTGGAATGACTTTAATGCCCTCATTCTCCTTTCTAATCCTATTTTCGTACTTCCTTCCATCTTGAAAAGAAAATACCTCCTGCAATAGACACTATTGTATGCCCTGCTTCACATCTTTTTTTTTTTTTTTTTTTTTTTTTTTGAGGCGGAGTCTCGCTCTGTCGCCCAGGCTGGAGTGCAGTGGCGCGATCTCGGCTCACTGCAAGCTCCACCTCCCGGGTTCCCGCCATTCTCCTGCCTCTGCCTCCCGAGTAGCTGGGACTACAGGCGCCGCCACCACGCCCGGCTAATTTTTTTGTATTTTTAGTGGAGACGGGGTTTCATTGTGTTAGCCAGGATGGTCTCGATCTCCTGACCTCGTGATCCACCCGTCTCGGCCTCCCAAAGTGCTGGGATTACAGGCTTGAGCCACCGCGCCCGGCCACCTGCTTCACATCTTTTTGGCCCTCCTTGGAGCTGACTTGCAGCAGGATGGGAAGTTCCTGATATGCTTTCAGCTTCCTACCTCAAGTGCTTGTGTCTTTTGACACAAGGAATAAATTCCTCTAATTAAGGAATTTATCTGATATTGTGTTAGCTGGCTCAGCTTATGTGCAGGAAACTCTGGGATTACTTGGAATTTAATGCCCCTGGGGCAACCTTTAACTGATGAGTTTGAGAAATTGGTGGATAATTCCCCAGCTTCCCTGTCCCTCGAAGTGACAATCCTAAGGTATATTCCACAGAGTTCCTCACTGCTTCCCCAATGGAATCAAGTTGCAGTTGCCCACAGTGGTAACCTGCCCATTAATATATGTTTTAATCAACTTCTCTTTCTTCCTTGTCTCATTTTCTCCACTTCCTCACTGGCGTTTCCTGAAATCTCTTCAAATAAAACACCTGTATCCTAGGTTTTCTCGACTATGGTCAAAACACTGTATGAGGCTCTAGGTATGTGATAAAAATGGCTGTTTTCCCCCTTCAGGGAGCATACTTTAGAAAAGAAGACATACGTACATATGGAATTAGTACATGGAACAAAAATGAAAAGTGCTACAAACAAATGACTTTACAATAAAGAAGATACATTCAGTCACTTAAGATTTCATTTCATGTCCCAAGCAGAGACTGATTATCTCCTAATATCCATTCTCTCCTTACATTCCTCTAAAAAACTCTGTGTTTTTATTTGAGCACAGTGTTGCCCAGAATAAAGATTACATTCCCCAGCCTCCCTTGCAGCTAGAATAGCCATGTGACTGAGTTCTGGCCATTGGGATATAAGAAGCAGTGCTTATAAAACTACTTCTTACATCTGGAAAGTGTCCTGTCAGCTGGAATTTGTATGGGATAGCTGAAACATGAGCAGCTATCCTAACCCATTAGGTGGATACCATAATGAGATGGAAAAATCCTGGGTCCCTGATAATCATGATGCTTCCATACCTGCCCTGGAGACCTTACCTTCAGTCTTTGTTTACATGTAAGAGAGAAAAAAAAAACTAGTCTTGTTTAAGCCACTGTTCTTTTGGCTCACAGCCAGAAATATTGTTAATGGATATATTTTATATTATTAAACTTTACAGAGGGTCTATTCTTGCTCCCTCACTGTCTTTAAAAAAAATCTCATGTCTTTTTAGAATCAGCCTAATGTTTAAGTAGTATTATAGATAGAATTTACCAGAAAGTTACTGGCTTTTGTTTTTCTTTCTAGAACAAAAATAGTCTTTTATTATTTCTGCTTTATAAATTTTCCACAAGATAAAGTGAATAGTGCTCCAGAAGAAGTCAAGTAGCGCCGCAAGGTCACAATGTGGCCACGGGTTGGGAGCCATCTCCTCATTCCAACAGACAGTGAGCAGCACAGGCTTAAACTGGATGGTAGGGCTAATGACACAAATTGTAACTGCAGTATCCAAAGAAAGCATTTCTTCTATGCTCAAATATACTGCAAGAAAGAGTGAAGGGCAGATGTGCCAGGATTCAGGCACACACACTCACCAATGGGGAGGCCCCAGAACTGCTTCTCCCCACTACTGGCTTTACCAAAGTTAGAACATGTGGTCAGGCACAGTGGCTCATGCCTGTAATCCCAGCACTTTGGGAGGCTGAGGCAGGCAGATTACTTGAGGTCGGGAGTTCGAGACCAGTCTGGTCAATGTAGTGAAATCCCGCCTCTACTAAAAATACAAATAAATAAATAAATAAATAAAATAGCTGGGCATGGTGCCACGCACCTGTAATCCCAGTTACTCAGGAAGCTGAGACATAAGAATCACTTGAACCTGGGAAGCGGAGGTTGCAGTAAGCTGAGATGGTGCCACTGCACTCCAGCCTGGGCGACAGAGCAAAACTCTGTCTCAAAACAAAAACAAAAACAAAAACAAAAACAAAAAAACAACATAACAAAAAAACAACAAAAAGGCAAAGTTAGAACATGTGAGAGTGAACCCAAACCATTTCTTTGTAGGAAAAAATACACTTTTCTAACACAGCATGAGAAGAGGAACAATATTGCCATCTGACTCAAAGAATGAACCTCATGGTCTGGCATCATGGGAATTTGTTTTACCTTATGTGCTTTATGGAGTTCCATGAAGGCAGGGATAATATGTTATTCATTTTTGAAAGCATAGCACCTGGTGCTTGGCACATGTGCATTTTTGTGTGTGTTCAAATGAATGAAAAATAACCTTGCAGTCTTAGTTCTTCAATTTCCAAGATAAAAATATCCAATAGTCAGAAATCAAAAGGGATTTGATGTTTGAGTTGCCTAGAGTTGGGCAAGAGTATATATTTTAAGGGCTGCATTCCCTCAAGAAGCTGCCCTTTGCTCCACAACTTGGGCACAAATGTCTAGCAGGTGGTCTTGGAGCCTCTCCAAAGCACTCGACAGTGGATAAGTCCAGCAAGAATGCTCTGACATCTCTATTTTTTACAATTTCCCACAAGAGAGAAAAATATCAAGGATCTGATATTTTGGTTATCATTGCACATTGCCAGTACAAAATGATAATAATGAACAATAAAAATACATTACACCTAGAAAATCATATTTTTTCCACTTTTTCAACAAATGAATCTTACAGAAAAAAGTTGCCTGTCTTGAAAGTAAGAATGATGGGAATTCCTGAAATATGTTGGAAACAGAGTGACTGCTAGAATCAGCAGTTCCCTCAACATTTGTGTTGTTTTAGATGTAAGAGCCAGCATTTAAGGGTAGTTCTCACCCATACACTTCTAGTAAACAGAACACGGAAGGTTCACAGCCACCACTGGCTTATGGATCACAGATCCTTTCATCTCTTATTAAGTATCATCCAGAAAGGGCTAAAACAAAGTTACCCCTTCACAAAGCTATCAGAAGTGCCTCCTGACTTCACTGCTGTCAAATTCTTTGCTTCTTTGATGAACACTTCTAGTATTCCTCCAGAGATTACAGGTGACTCCTTCTTCTTTCCCTTTTTAAAAGTCTTATTTCCTGTGTCAGCCACCAAAATGAGGGAATGGTGGGGAGAGAGAAAAAAAAAAAAATAGAAAAATCATGGGTTCCATTTCAAAATTTACAAAGATCATATACAAAGATATATTTCATTTGCTGACTGAATTGGGCCTTTACATTATTGTATATTTTTATTCATTTAACCATTTTTGCCCCCATTGGATTCCTTCCGGATAGGCCTTTCATTTGTGTTTGTTGAAACAAATGAACAAATAAATTTAAAACTTTAAACACTCCCTTACAAAGCATATCTTTTCACAGGGTATAAAGGCATGGAATGCCTAAGAGTTTTCCGGAGCACCATTCCTGCTCTTAGTGAGAAATAACTATGATGAAAGCAATATACACACACCACAACTCCGAAAGAGAAAACTCCATAACTCCCTTTGATAGTTTAGTCTTACAAATAGTCAGTTTTAGTCAGAGTCAGCTCTGGAGGCTACAGCCCAAGCAGTTACATTTTAGGGTGAGAGAAATTTCTTTTCCACCTCACTTTTCTATTCTATGAAATACGTTCAACATGAATGATATAAACCAGTACCACAACCAACATGTTTATTTAGTACTATTTTAAGCACTTTACATATATGAACCTATTTATTCTTCACAACAACCCTTTGAAGTGAGGAAATTGAGGTCAGGAGATAGTGAGTTACTTGCACAAGCTCACACTGAAAAGAGTTATAGTCAATGGGAGGACAGAGGAGGCTGCCTGCAAGAGTTGATGGTAAAAGAAGGGCAAAATAGTTTGGATGTGTATCCTCACCCAAATCTCATGTTGAAATGTAATCCCCACTATCGGAGGTGGGGCCTGGTGGGAGGTGATTGGATCATGGAGTGTATTTCTCATGAGTGGTTTTGCACCGTCCCCTTGGTGCTGTCCTCACGATACTGAGTGAATTCCTGTGAGATCTGGTTGTTTAAAAGTATGTGGCACCTTCTCTCTTTCTCTTGTTCCTGCTCCTGTCATGTGAGACCCCTGCTCTACCTTCACCTTCTGCCATAATTGTAAGCTTCCTGAGGCTTCCTCAGACGCATATGCCTGTTTTATGCTTCCTACATAGTCTGCAGAACCATAAGCAAATTAAACCTCTTTTATTTATACATTACCTAATCTTGAGTATTTCTTATAGCAATGCAATAACAGTTTAATACAAAGGAGAAGAGAGATTTGTAAATTGACTCCATCTGATTTATTCCTTTAAATCCTGTGTTCTAGAACAACTTCTTCATCAAGACTCCCTGAATAGTTGTGAATGTCATAAATCCATGGAGCAGTTTCCTATGCTTGCCTCCCAGCAGCCTGCCTTCCCCCAGCCCTGGGGGAAGATCCTATATTTTTGGGACTAACAGAAAACAAATCTGACCACCAAGTCTGATCTCTAAGTATGAATTTTGTCCTTTCCTTGTAAGAATCCTGCGTTCTTCCATATACGGTATACACATCTCAACTTTCCCCAAAAGACAGTGACACCTAATCCTTTATGTTTTGTTTGTGTAATATGAAAGACATAGAATGCAACCAATCCCTGATTCCTACTACCACACTTCTAGAAACAGAATGTCATTGATCAAAGTCACTGATTTTTACTCTACCTTGGAGTTGTTCTGGCGGAAGCATCAGATTCTCTTCCGGGGGAATGTAACGTAAAACAACTGTCAGCTCTCCTTTGTATTGAAGGCCAATATCAGGAGCAAACTCCACCTGGCCAAGGAGAAACAAGTAAATTGAAAGAGTATGAATGATTTGCTTAGTATTGTAGTCCACATTTGAATGTGCAGTATTTACTTGGTGGTATAAATGTGACAATCCATTCCCATTTCAACTCTGTTGGCTCTCATTGGTTTAAGAGATGCCTTAGGTAAGAGAAAAGAAAGGCTGGAAAACTCTATGAAGGCATTTACATATAACCTTTAACATTTAAGTAAAAGGAATTTGAAAGAAGACATATAACTTATATTTGGCCAGTCAATAGATATTGAGCACCTGTGATGCATTGATGACTGGACCTATCACTGAGTTTACATATATAGTTTGGGATGTGAAGAAGCAGGAATAAAAATGCCACTGAAAGTACCTCCAGAAATTACTTCTCCGTGTCATCTTTGATGTCTTTTAAGGCTTTCCCAAGTGATCAAGAAGGGAAAAGTAGGCAATAATGCTTGATTCACATGGGGCTGCCAGTCTTCAACTGTTAAAAGCAATATTGGTAATTCATATAATCAAAATTCAACATGGAGAAAGTGGTTCACTCAAACATTGTTGGTGGGAATGTAAAATGGTGGAGTCATTCTGGAAAACAGTTTGGCAGCTGCTCGTAAGACTAAACATGCAACTACCATCTAACCAGAAATTGCACTCTTGGCCATTTATCCCAGAGAAATGAAAAAGTTATATCCACACAAAACTTGTATACTAATATTTGTATCAGCTTTATTTGTAATAGTAAAAAACTGGAAATCACATAGATTTCCTTCAACAGGTGAATGGTCAAACAAACTGTGGTACATCCATACCGTGGAATACTATTCATTAATAAAAATGGAATACACTATTGATAAATGCAACAAGTTGAATCTCTAGAGAATTCTACTGAGTGAAAAAAAGCCAGTCTTAAAATGACATATACTTTATGATTTCATTTATGTAAGTAACATTCTTGAAATGACAAAATTATAGAGATGGAGAACAGATTAGTGGTTGCTAGAAGTTAGGGATGTGAGTAGTGGGAGGGAGTTAGATGTGGTTATAGAAGGTCAACCTGAGGGACACATGTGGTATTAGAACTGTTCTGTACCTCGACTGTGGTAGTAGATACACAAACCTATAAAGGTGATAAAATTGCATAGAACTAAATATACACACACACGTGCACACACACACACACACACACACACACACACACACACAAATGAGTACAAAACTGGGAATTCTGAATAAAATTGGTGGATCATATCAATGTCAATATCTTGGTTGTGGCTGGGTGTAGTGGCTCATGCCTGTAATCCCAGCACTTTGGGAGGTGTAGGTGGGAGGATTGCTTGAGCCCAGGAGTTTGAGACCAGCCTGGGCAACACAGTGAGACCCCAAGTAGCTGGGCATGGTGGCATGCACCGTAGTCCCAGCTACTTGGGAGGCTGAGGTGGGAGGATAGCTTGAGCCCAGAAATTTGAGATTATAATGAGCTATGATTTTGACACTGTACTCCAGCCTGGATGCCAGAGTGAGGCCCTGCCTTTAAAAAATTAAGCAAAACCTGGTTTGATATTATAGTACAGCTTTGCTATAGGTTACCATTGGGGAAAATCAAGTAATAAGTACATGGGATCTCTCTGTAGTTTTTCTTATAACTGCATGTAGATTTACAATCATCTCAAAATATAAAGTTCAAATTAAAGAAAATCAATGTGCACATGCACCCAGAACCTCTGTTCCATAGGTCTCCCACTTGCCATTGAGTCAACTGAACTTTGAGTTCTTTCACAGGTAGAGCAGGAAAGGAAACTTTTGTTAAGGTTTTCCTTTAGAGATCTGACTTCTGAGTCAAGAGCAGAGAACTGCTCTCTCAGAGAGGGCAGAATGAGAGTTCAGAAATCTAGCCCACTCATAGCTAAGCCAGAGACTGTTCAAGACTTGGCATAAATAAGCAAATAAATAGTAAAAAAAAAAATTAAACATACTGAGACTATTAAAAAGAAAAGGAATCCTTGCCTGACTTTCCCTTTTCTTTCCTGCTGGTGATAGTAAAACTTACTAGTAAGGGTGGGAAAAATGCTTGAAATATTTTATTCAACCTTCTTACCGGGGACAAAAATGAGAATATATGGTAAAATAGACTATCCATCTAATATTTAATCTGATTATTTTAGATCAAGTTCCTTGTAACTGGACTCTTCTTTTTGTTTTGACAATCTCAGTAAATTTTAGTTTAGGTGAGTATCATAAGTAGAAAATAATAATGGATGTTATGACAGATTAAAGATGGTTACCACTTTTTTGGTACTGTCATCAATGAGAGATGGGGTATTTGTGACCTCTCCTTGGGTCTGAGTGGGCTCTGTGATTGCTTTGACTAGTATTATAGAATATGGCAGAAGTGACAATGTGCCAGTTTTGGGGTCCAGGTCTTAAGATCAACAGCTTCTACTTTCTTTCTTGGAATGGATATTTCTGAATGCTTCCTCTGGGAATCCATGCTAAGAGAGCCCAAGCCACAGAGACAAGCCGCACGTAGGTGCTCCAGCTGGCAGGCCTAGCTGAGCTTCCAGCCAGCAGTCAACATCATGTGTAAGACATGGAAGTGAGTCAATTTGAACAATCAATGCAGTTGAGATTTTCGATGACATCAGCCTCAGTCAACCATCTGGCTGCAGTGGCACGATAAACCCTACGTGAGAACTACCTAGATGAGCCTAGTTAACCCACAGAATCATGAGAGAGAATAAATTCTTGCTGTAAGCCACGAAGGTTTAAGGTAGTTCGGTATACAGCAATAGTTAACCAGAGCAGGCTGTGTTGGCTTTTTGAGTGAGATCTTCGGGTAGGAAAAAGTGATATGTGTAGGAATCACATACTAATATACAGTGTGCTACTAGAGATCAAAAACATGCATTATTGGGATTTACCAACATTCCATTGGTTTTTAGCTTAAAATATACTGTTGACCCCGTATAAATATAGACCTCAAGTCTTATGAAAGGAGAACACAATAATGACGAAGCTTGTAGCATTATAATCACATACAAAAAATTAAAGTGGAGAGTCATATTGCAGTCTGCACATGTCTAATGTCTTAGGGTATTTTTGATACTTATACTTTGCCAGGAAATTCCTAAGCAACACCCTCTCCTGGCATAACACCATTGTCATTATCCAACCAACTATTACTTAGAAAAAGTTAGCAGAATCCAATCATATTCAATTCAACTCTACCAACACATATGGAATGCTTACATTTTTATAAGGCACTTTGCTAAGTGCTGTGGGGACACATAAGACAGACCCTGCTTTCAATGAGTTTTCAGTCTATGTAGTAGACATACTTGCAGTAGCAGGATCTATTAATTCACACTTAGTTAACTGACTCATCGGTTTAATTAGTGTTCTTCATCCCTAGTGAATAGCAGAATCCTTCCTGCAAAGAACATGCATCTGCTCCCATCAGTTGAATTGTATGCACACTGAGAGTCAGCTGCGTTAGTTAGTCCCCCAAGCTCTTTAGGCCAGGCATATTTGTGATTGTAATTATATAGTTTAATGTCACATAAATTGATGAGTGCAAAAGACAGCTGCTACTATAACAATTCTGTTGAATACTTTAGAAGAACTAAAGATTTGAAAACAAAGTTGCTGTTGGATTATATGTGGGCTTGAATCTATGAAAGGTTAGAAAAAATCATAAATTTTTGAGAAGAATTTGCATTTAGTTTACTTTGAAAGTATTCTTATGTTCTTGTTTCATTCGGGAAAAAAACTCAAATTTGAATCTGCTGATGATGATGCATTAGGAGGAGAATTTATGCAAGGAATATATGGCAGAATTTTACTTACTGAATGAAATTCAAACAAAATTAATTGTCTCTGTATTAGAAGACTTGCAAATGAATGTACATTTATTTGGTTTAAGTTAAAAATAAATGTTTAAGAAATGCATTGGGAAGCTATAGTAATCAAAACAGCATGGTACTGGCATAAGAACAGATACATAACACCAATGGAACAGAATAGAGAGTCCAGAAATAAATTTATGGTCAATTGATTATCAACAAAAGTGCCAAAAATACACAATGGGGAAAGGACAGTCTCTTTAGTAAACAGTGTTGGGACAACTGAACATCCACATGCAGAAGATTGAAATTGGACCATTATCTCACACCATATACAAAAATCAACTCAAAGTGGATTAAAGACTTAAGCATGAGACCTGAAACTGTAAAACCACTAGGAAAAACATAGGGGAAAAGCTCCATAACATAGGTCTGGGAAATTTTTTTTATATGACCCTAAAAGCACAAGAAACAAAAGCAAAAATAGGCAAATAGGACTGCCTCAAACTGAACTTCTGCAGAGCAAAGAAAACAATTGACAGAGTGAATAGACAATCTGCAGAATGAGAGAAAATAGTTGCAAATCATACATCTGATATAGTTTAAGTTAAATAATTTAATATCCAAAATACATAAAGAACTCAAGCAATTCAATAGTAAGAAAACAAATAATCCAATTAAATAACGGGCAAAGGATCTTAATAGACATCTCTCAAAAGAAGACATACAAATTGCCAACAAGTGTATGACAAAATGTTCAACATCGCTAATCACCAGGGAAATGCAAATTAAAATCGCAATGAGCTATTATCTTATACCCGTTAGAATGGCTACTATCAAAAGGACTAAATACAGTGAGTGTCATAGAACCACCGTATATATGATCTAGCAATCCCACTACAGGGTATATAGCCAAATAAAATGAAATAAGTATCTTAAAGAGATCTCTGCACTTCCATGCTCATTGCAGCATGATTCACAATAGCCAACATATAGAAACAACCTAATTGTCTATCAATGGATGAAGTGATAAAGAAAATATGGTATATATACACAATGAAATACTAGTCAGCCTTAAAAAATAAAATCTTGTCATGTGCATTTGTAACAACGTGGATAAATCTGGAGGACATTATGTTAATTAAAATAAGCCAGGCACAGAAAGATGAACACTGCATGATCTCACTTATATCTAAAATAGATGTAAATCTAAAATAGTGGAATCGAAAATAGTTGAATTAATAGAAGCAGAGAGTAGAGTGGTGGTTATCAGGGGCTGGGGGTGGGCAGAACTGGGGGAGATGTTGGCCAAACAAAATAAAATGTCAGCTAGATAGGAGGAATAAATTTGAAGAATCTCTTTTACAACATGGTGACCATAGTTATTAATAATAACAATGCTTTGTATTCTTGAAAATTGCTAAGAAAGCAAATTTTATGTGTTCTGACCATAAAAAAGTATGCTATGTGAAGTAATGTATATGTTAACTAGATTGATGTAGCCATTCCATAATATATGCATATTTAAAAACCACATTTTACATGATAACTATATACAATTTTTATGTGTTAGTTCAAAATAATTAAAAATAAAAGAAATGCATTGAGTGTGTGTGTTTGTATGTGGGTGATTTCTGTGATGTTGTCTATTAACTGACCTACTATTGGTGGTAATTTCTAGGGGAAGAGGGTTTCTACTATACAGAAAGTTCAATGTAAGATGTTTCGACTATACAGAAAGTTCAATGGTGACAGTTATTCCAACACAAGTAAAAAGAAACTATTATGGGAAGAGAGAGATTAATCCGGATTGGGAAAAACAGGTGGCTCTTGCCTGGTCCTTAAAGGATGGGAGGCATGATGACAGATGAAGATGGATTGGGAAGGTTAGTCCACGTTGAGAAAGCAGTAAGAGCAAAATATGATGGGGGTTGTGTAGAATATGTTTAGGGACTGACAGAAAGTCAAATGTGATCGGGGGAGTGTGTACAGGGAGATAGTAGCAAGGAGGATGGAAATAAGGTGTCAACTCGGGGTTTCCCAGAAGATGCTAAGGCACTAATTTAAGTTATAGTATTTTACTAGGAAGGGTACTGGGGAAGGGGGACTGAAAGTGAAGGAGGTTTAAGGATGTGATTTCAGGCAAAGTTCCATGGAGAGTAACTTTTGTTAAGTCCCATAGGGGTACTCTGGAGATGTGACAGATCACGCTTCAGAGCTGTTCTAATCAGAGGCAAGAACGTGGGAGTATTGATGCTCCTTAACCCACCAGTCATTGATCAAGAATCTGCTCACCCCCAGGAGACTTAAATACCCAGGCTATGTTGGCTTTTCTGGCCTGCAAACCAAGCCCTCTCTAGCAGCCCGAGGGCTCCCCTCCTACAATGATTGGCAGGGGTTGGCTGGTGGGAGTGAAAGCAATTGGGAGCCCTGTTTGCAAGAAAATGGGGATGGGTAGAGAACTAACATCTTTTGCTGCTACAGTAGGCCGGGCCATTCAACAGAACACTGAGTGCCAGAGTGAGGGTTAGTATTCATTCAAGCCATATCCAAACGCAGTAGGGAACCACTGAGACTACCTGAGCAGGGATGTGAAATAAGCAGATGACACCCACCACCTTCTGCTTTCTGAAAAAAAGAGAGGTCCAGTTTCCACTGGAGTAAGGAAGAGACTCCCAGTGCATTTACAGGTGTAACATGGAGTAAGGAATTACAGACAAAAGTCTGCCAAAAAAGAGAGAGAGCCTTTAATCTAAGTATAATTCCAAAGGAACATACATTTACTCTCTGCCTGAAGGCAGAATAAGAGAATGTTTCTTTGGAAAATCACTTAATCTTGTTGTTGATTTTCAGATGTCTTTGGTTTATAATAGCACACTCTGGGAAGGCTTGAAAGGCAATTTATACTGATAAAACTTTCTTGTCTAACTACCTGACATGACTTTCAGAAGGATAATGATTTACAGCTAATAAATAATCCCATACCATGAAGTAAAATGGAAGTTATACTGTGAAACTACAGTACGTTTGGCATCTTGAGTTCTTTCTCTGCACCAGCCTCCTCACTGGCTTTGCACTGTAGGACCTAACCCATGCAAAGACAGATATTGAGGAACCTTCGCTAACAGAGTCAATAAGCAATAAGGCACCATGCCTTTCTGGCACTCCTAGTGCAGAAGTATGTCAGTATTTCTGAATTATTAAGGATTATTAATTCTGATCCCCTATTACTAGGGAAATCAGTCCCTGTAACTCACGTTTCACCTTCTCAACTGCATAATCTACAAGAAACGTCAAGTCTCCAAGGCTGCTCATACTACATCTGCAGCTGCTGGAGTGACAATTGCATTGAAATGACCAAGGCAGGAAACTGAAACTGAAGTGCCACTTTACATAGCTGGCTGATAACCAACCACACAGAGCCCAGCTCAGCCTGAGGATGAGCCACTAATGAAGCACAAGGCAGCCTATAGAGCATGCCTTTGTGCCTGTCCTCCGCGTTTTCAGAAGACATGGTATCTAAGCACGTCTGAGTCTTCAGCTTTTCTTCTATATAGAACAGAGGAAGCTGGGCAGAGGAAGATGGCAGAGGTTAGAGATACTAACTTCTGTTGGGTTCTTCAGAAATAGACTCGAAGGTGAAGATTTGTATGCAAGTGAATTATTAAGGAAGTTCTCTTAGAGAAACCAGTAAAGCGATATGGGAAGCAGAACAGGGACGAGTCTAACCTTGGGCAAAATTCCATGGAAGGTAGCTTCTACCTGAGGTGGTACTATACGTAACACTTTGGAGCTTTTCCCCACTTTCAGTAAGGGAAGTGGGCCTTCATACTCCCCCACCTATCAGTTATTGATGAAGGGTTGTCACGTGGCAGCGGGTACAAAAATTCCCAGGACTTCTGGCTTTCTGCCTATGTAGGCAAAAAGCTACAGTAGCCCGAGGGAAGTCTTCTAAAGAGAGTCTCAGGTGGAGGCTGTTGCGGCGAACCTCCTAACAGACATGGTTAGGAACCTAAGAGGATCTGGCAGAGGGCCCATGGTATTCCACAGTGAATGCGATCCGAACTTTTCTACCTTCAGTAGGCTCAGAAAGACTCAGAGATGCTTCCCTCTTATGATAGGCTGTGAATCACTCATCGACAATGTGGAAGTGATTACTGAGGAAAATGCTGATTTCTAAGCACAAAGGATGCCTGGGAGAGGTCTAGGAGAGCTTACATATCCTTCCAGCAAAGTCCTTCAACTATTTCCAGGAAATTGACTGGAGGGATGCTATTGTTCCCTCCTTCAGAACCAGGGTATATTCTGATTGTCTTAAGCCACCTAATGCATCTTACCTCCCTGGCCACAGTCATTAGCTTAGAATAGGCAAATGATAGAATTATAATTAGGAGAACCAGACCCAATGCACTGATTTGGCTGTTGGAGGAGGAGGAACTCTCTCCTCTTCTGAACAGTGTGATGCAAAGATGAAAGGCTTTCAGCCACTGTAGTCATTAGAGAGGCATGCTTGGAGCTAGTCAGGGAGGACAATACTGCATGGAACCTGAAAATGAAGCCAATGAAGTTAAAAAGAGAGACCAAGAAATTCCAAGACTTTGATAAGATTTGAACATCTGGATCAAGCCATGCCTAATCACTGCTGGCCAATAATCTCCCTTTATATTTTGAGCAGTATGAGCTGGAGTTTCTGTCAGTTGCAATACAAGGACTCCCAAGTCACATGTATACCATTTAACATTTACTGAGAGCTTACAATGTTCCAGATAAAATGCTGACAGCCATGTATACAATGTTTATTCAAGCCTCACCACAGACCTATAAGCTACATCCAATGATTATATTACAACTGAGGACACTAAGGCATAAAAAGTTAAATAATTTGCCCAAGGTCACATGGGCAGTCATGAAGCCAGGACTGAACCAAGTAAGTTTGATTTGAGTCCACTGTCTTCATCATAATGTGTTTTTGCCTTTCTGTATATAAAGAATAATCTTTGACTGCATAAATGTGACCTTTACTCACCTCTATTTTGGCTTAAAAAGTACTGTAAATGCATAGAGACTCCAGTCACTTAAAGTGAATCCAAGGCACTGTTGGTCTAGATTAGAACATGCTATACAGTATTGGCATTTAATTATCAGCTCTAAGATTTTTTTTCTGAATGTAACTCAAGGCCTGGGTCATGAATCCCAAAAGTAGGAACATAAGAAAATCAGATACTTTAGCTACTGGTTATTCCCTCGTATAAGCAAAGGCAAGATCACTCCTGCTTATGGTCTGAATTGTGGAGAATGAGAAATAAAGGTAATGTTTTGAGATTGTTTATGCTGTATGAATTTGGTTTTGCCTATGTGAAAGTGAAGACTCTCTAATAAGATCATATAATGTATTGCTTTCAGTTATCCAATAAGACTGTCAAATAATACACATTTTTAGCAAAAAATATATATGGTTATGTGGCTTTCATTATACAAAAGACCTATATTGACAAAGAATTTCCAAAGCGGTGGATTTACAACATTTTTATAATATTATTCCAAAATTTCCTGTACAAATTTTTTGCAGATTATCACTTGAAATTTGAAAGTCTTCGAGTTCTTTAGGCCTATGACATCAATTTCGCTCATAACTTGTATCATTGCATAACTGACTGATCTAAGAGCATTTCCTACCTTGGGTTGAAGCACAAACCACTCATCAGTTGGATTTTCAAAGTTCCATGAGTCAAAAGGAATCTCTACTTCCCCGAGGAAGCTATTACGTCCAAATCGATCATAGTGCCAGACTGACAGCTGCAGAGTTCTTGTTTCCAGCTGGGTATGGCTGATGGTGTACTGCAAATGAGATTTGCAACATTACATTCCACAAGGAGGGCTCTATCCAATTCCAGGACAGGTTGAAATTTACTTCCGACATCTTTCAGATCATATACATCAGTAACACGAACAAAACAAACCCAAAGAAAACTCTTTGTTTTTCTTTGTTTCTGCTACAATTGAAGTTCTATGCCATAAACTCATTTTGTGCCAGACTTAGCATTGAAAGATATTTGAGGTAGTATTTGAGGTAGAGGTAAACTCCAGATACTGTATACAAAGTGTTAGGTGATGAAGCTTATCCTCTTTCCAGTTTTATTGGTTTTTCATTTTCCTTAATTATTTTTTCACACCTACTTTGTAAACTCAAGGTTTAATATATAAATTCTCCAACTTCTTTCTTATCTTATTCATAATGAGAATCCCCAAATCCAGAAAAGAATTGACAATGAGAAACTCGCAAACACCAAATTTTATAAAGTCCAGCCTAAGTGTAGAGGTGAAAAGGTGTACATGTATATTAAACAGAAAGAAGATGTTGCTGGGCTAGCATTTTTTTTTTTGGTAACAGCACTATCCAGGGCCACATGCTCACACACCCTCCAACCTTCTGCTTGTTCTATGCAACCACCATCTGGGACACACTTCAGACTGACTGACTCCTGATCTTGGATTAGTGTCTATTCTCGTTCTTGCTGTTATTGTCATAATTAACCTTGGCTCCCTGCTTCCTAAATTTACCCTCTCCCTGTATTTGGGCTCATCTTTTCAATCCTGTTACGGCCATTGAATATACCCTCTGCCTGTATTTATTCATTTGTCAGTTTGTTTTGTCTTAATATTAGCTCCTGCTTCCACACATGCTCCCACTGACACATGCAGGCTCATGGCTTTCTGTCTTTACCAATTTCCTCCTAAAATGGACTCTGCCTCCATCATTATTGGGCAAAAGCCCATAAATTTCCATAGAATTGGCAATAATTTCTTCATTCCATTCTCCCTGGATGTTTCTTACCAGGCCAGATTGGTCCATAGCAAGGGAAGGGGTTAATTATGTGAAAGCTCATTGGAAAGAGATTCCTATTTTCTGGATCATTGAGCTGGATTGGGCTATATTTTATCTAGGCCACTTTTGTTGAGATTTCTCAAATCTGGCTCTTCATTTCCACTATTCGTTAACCACATACTTATATTTAGTCAAATTCTGAAATCCTAACAACAAACAGTATAGATCTATGCTATATTAGCAGAACAATGAATGTGTGCAAAATGACTGTTAAGTAGTGTCAAAACTGTGACAAACTTCTTTTAAGGAAGTCAGAAAAAGCACTGTTTGCCCAAGGGTAAAACCGATTTTTTTGGCAAGATGCATCAGCACAGATGCAGTTTGGCTGGATCATCTCTATTCAAGGTTAAAATTCAGTAGCAGCAGAGACATAAACAGAATAAGAGTGTTTTCGTTTCCTCAAAAGATGTTAGAAAAGTCAAGGGTATTATGTTAATTTATTCAAATTCTAATTTTCTAAAACATATACAAGCCTTGACATGCAAAAAAAATATTCTGTGTAGTTACTTCTAAACCATTGAAGTTGTGAACAGTATCACATGAGTTACTATGAGACCATATTTATTTACCTTTAGTGTTTCATTGAATTCTGGATTGGTGCCTGTTCTGATTTTGGTCTTACGCTTGTTGTTCCGGGACTTGTCAGGAAGAAGGTATGACTTGACATAACTATAGGTAAGAAAATATAAATGTAATTATTGTGAAGCATCTATTTGCAAGAAATGTTCAAAGACTTCATTGTGAATAAAAGGGGCAAAGGGCCAGTGTGCATGAGAGGAAATACCAAAGAGAATTTTGTCTATATGAGAGGATACCTTAAAATGAGAACCCTGGGCCTTCCATAAGAGAGAAGTGGTAAAGTATAATGATAAAAGAGTGTGGGTTCTGGAGTCAAGCCACCTGGTTTTGAATCACTCCATGCCTCAGAGGTTTTGGTGACCTCAAGAATTTACTAAATAACCACTCTGTGCCTCAGTTTCTTCATCTGTAAAACTGGGAAAATAACAGTGTCTAACTGATGGCCTTCTGTGGATTAAATTAGTTGACACATCCAAGGAGCTACCGTATTGTACTACTCAACAAATATAATACATTATTAATGTTAACAGTCTCACAAACTTTTCTGGGATTAGATGCTTCTCTATTCCTAGTCTTGCCCTCTGATGTCAGAAAGTGGGGTCAATGGTAATGGGTGAGTGAAAGAAAATAGTGAAAAAGACAAAATAAACAACGACAACCTGAAGTAGTGATAGCAATTCTACCCAACACTTTAGCTTGAGCTATCTCAAGAGCCTCTTGAAGCAGGGTACCACAGCAAACTCAGAAATGTACAAGATGTGTACGAGGTTGAAATGTATAAGATGCTACCAGAGTTCTACAGAATACCTGTTGAGTTTTAGAACACCCCTTTCCAAGCTAGTCAAAATAATTACATGGGTCCTGTAGCCTTCTGAAATTTAGTTGAGGAGGCAGGTGGACCAATTTGTAGTCAGAATCCACTCATTTGTCTATCTCAGGGTATTTGGAACCAGGTTCACTGAGTTATTTATTGGACCTAGGTCATCTACTGTGCAGAAGAGGGTTAATATAGTGGGCCTGAGACTATCATTCTTCTAAATGCCTGCTTGCAAATATGGCCCTTGGGTGGCACCTGGCAACTTGGATTTCAGGAGGATTCCCACCATTCCCAGAACGGATAAAAGTGGCTCGTTGTTCCTAAATTGTTTGTACAAAGAAAATGGCTTATGCTGAACAGGTTCTTTCCTTCTGAGAGACTGGAAATTGGTATGTGACCAGTTGAATTTCTAACAAGCTTCCTTGGTAGACAACATTTCACAAGTGTTGTCAGAACTCATCGCCGGAGGAATTAAATGCATCCTATGTGACTCCACTGGGAAAGGACCCTTGCAAAGCTTGAGCCTGACCTCCCCTGGACTTTGCCCCATGTGCCTCTTTGCTGATTATAACTGCGTGCAGAGTCCTGAGTCCTCCTAGTGAATCATTGAACCTGGCAGTGGTCTTGAGGACCCCTGACACACCTTTATATCTAGCTTCTCTCCAATGTGCCATGGTCCATACCTGCCCTCCCAGGCTGATCTCTAGAATCCTGAGAGCCTCATAATTGCCTTTTTGAGTTGTTTAATTGGGTAACAGCTTGGTAATTTTCTCTGGAGGATTTCCCAGAACAAAAATTGACAAGATGCTTTTGTATATCCTGGGTGTGCCAACATGTCAGCATTCTACTTCAAAGAGCTGCCTCTGTGTAAATTTCAAATATGTCAATCCGGAATTATGTTTTAAAAATCAGTTAATCAAGGACACAACCAGCATACATGTGCTTCAGAGAATATCCAGAAGTGTGGTATAGGAGGAACGTGACAATCAACTCTCTCAGAAGACTGAATCAAGAAGAATGCTAAGACTCTTTTGAAAAGGAAACACACATACAGACAAAAAAGGCAGTGATTGAAATAGTCTGAGGAACATGCTATGTGCTTACGCATCTGTCCTCTGTTTCTTTTCATCTCCTATGGCCAGATTTCTGCAATTCTTGACCAAAATGTAGAGCCCACCAGTTTTGTAGCAGTAGCTGATATGGAGAAGGATTTCACCACTGACTTTCACGTTGCCATAGTCTCCGGTTTCACTGTAAACACTCATCATGCTGTTAAGACTGGTCTGAAATAAACAAGATGGAAAAAGGCATCTAGTGTCATTCTAATGATCTCTTCACAGAATCAACTGACTTCATTCAATTATAGTTCCTGTTCTTTCTAATGAGCACGGAAGTCTAGGGTGAGGAAAGAAAACAAGAGTCACTTGTTTGGCTGGTATTGTATAAAATCCCAGCTGGAGAAAAGACAACAGAGCTAGTACCGTCAGGAAAAAAAGGTAGAAAACTTGCTTAGAGGGGAAGCATTTCCTTCTTGGGTTAGAGAATACCCTTTGCTTACTCACTTCTACTAATGAATACAGGGTAATTGAGGCATTTCAAATCTCACTTCTCTTCCATCCCTGCAGCTTTCTCCATTTTCACTGGTAGACTCAAGTTCAATCTACTACAAGGTGTAGAATACATTGACCGGGACAAAGAATAGCTTATCTCATATTCTGTGCTACCAGGAGCCACATACTGCTTTCTTTGACACCTACAGGGAGCATCCCATCAGTCTCTGGGGAGCCATAACTGCAGCTTTAACAAGGACATGCCAGAAGAACATCACATACCCACAGCTTCCACGATTTCCCTCAACTGAGTAGCTAGCTGTGTGGCTACACGAGTACTATGAGACCATGGCTTTGTAAATCTGTATAAAGTAGCAGCCCACAAAATATACCACTACACAATAAAATCACACACCAACCAATCAGGAAAAAAGTTTTTTAAAAAAGTCCAAATCTACCAGAATGAATGAGGCTTTCGACAAGACTCTAATGACACGAGACAGCTTTTAATGTACAGTAGTCCCCCTTACCCACAGTTTCACTTTCCATAGTTTCAGCTACCCATGATCAACTGCGGTTCAAAAATATTAAATGGAAAACTCCAGAAACAAACAATTCATAAGTTTTAAATTGTATGCTCTTTTGAATATGTGAAAGGAAAATATCTTGGGCACCCAAAATCACAAAGCTAAAGGAAAAAGTCAAGCTGGGAACTGCTTAGAGCAAACCTGCTTCCCATACTATTCAAAGTCACCCCTCCGCTCACTGAGATAAATGCATATCTAAGTGCCTCCTTTGGAAAGGCTAATAAGAAACGCAAAATAATGCAACTATTTGTCTCTTATCTACGTATGACCTGGAAGCCCCCTCCCCACTTGGAGTTGTCACGCCTTTCCGGACCCAACCAGTGTTCATCTTACATATGTTGATTGATGTCTTATGTTTCCCTAAAATGTATAAAACCAAACTGTGCTCTGAGCACCATGGGCACATGTTGTCAGGACCTCCTGAGACTGTGTCAGGGGTGCTGGTCCTCAACCTTGGCAAAATAAACTTTCTAAATTAACTGAGACCTGCCTCAGATTTTCAGGGTTCACAAGTAGCATGATGAACTCTCACATCATACTGCTGCATCCCACCACCCTGGATGTGAAGCCGCTCTTTGTCCAGTTGGAGCCACACTGTAGATGATACTTGCCCATTAGTCACTTAGCTGTCTCAGTTATCAGATTGACTGTCCTGCTATCACAGAGCTTGTGCTCAACTCATTCTTATTTTACTGAATAATGACTCCAAAGTGTTAAGAGTAATGATGGTAGTAATTTATATACGTCAAAGAGAAGCCAAAAGTGCTTTCTTTAAGTGAAGATGTGACCTTGGTGCTTCTTGGCTAGGGTTTGGTACTATGCGAGGTTTCAGGCATCCACTGGGGTGGGTGGAATGTATCATCTGTGGATAAAGGTGACTACTGTAAATGTAATAAAATTACGCTTTGGCACTAGAAGTGAAAACTGTGTATCTTAGTAACTGTCACAAAAGACCACCTGGAGGTATTTCACGGCGGACCCAACAGTTTCAAAACCACTTTTCTGTGAACCACTGGGAAGTCAAGACTACAGTAAGTACACAGGGACCTTAGACTGTCCTCTTTTTTGTACTTTGCTTTTGGTAAAAGCCATTATATTCCACCAATTTCTGGGAGTAGAGACTGACCAAAGGACAGGATGTGGGTGATGTGGTCACATGTCTTCTAAGCTTCTTCACGGGCAAGAGCAGACCAATAATTCCATAATTATTTGGAAATTAGAGCTTAAAGAAAGTCAGTGAGTGACCTAATCTGTCTTTCTTATTCCTAAAACAAAGCAACAGAATTTTCATGTTTAGCAGGTGGCTTTGAGCAGTGCTTTTCAAACTTTAATTGCATAGAAATCACCCAGATACTTTTTAAACTGAAAATGCTTCTCTCTTCATTCTGGGGTGAGGTCTGAGATTTGACTGTTCTAACAAACTCCTAGGCCTGCAGTTCCCAAACTGTGTATCGAGGTACCACAGAGCACCACAGCAAACTCACAGGGGAATCACAGAAAGATTTTAAATTCTCAAGGGAAACACAACAACACCTATCAGACACCATGTAAGCTACTAACTAGTAATTCACAGTGTCAACATTAAGCCATGCTTTATTCTTTTCAATGAACTCCTAGTTGTTTGAAGCTGAGTTTTTGGCAGTTGCTGCAACAAAAAGCAAGTATTGCACAAAAATGAATATGAAATGGGAAATGAAAGTAGTGATGTCCAATCAGATTCCAAGATTTGGTAACTGTGTAGTGCTCAATAGGCACACATATCCTATTAGTGGTAAGTAATAGGTGCTATTTAAGGATGAAATAAAAATACTATTTTTCTTTCCATTTACTTGTAGCATTTTTTTCAAATGGCTAGTTAGTTGTTAGGATACAGTGCTTATTAAATTGTTTGGGTCTAACTACTTAATAAATGGACTAGTCAGGTGCTACTTTTAGTGTAGGAGTGCCAGGAAAGAATTACTGAGACACTAGGGGCTTTTTGAACTGAGAAAGTTTTGGGGTATCTGTTCCAAGTGATGCAATGTGCTGGTCCATGGAGATTTGAGTAGCAAAGGTTTCAAGAATAAGCCCCAACCTCCTCATGTTACAAATGAGAAAATTCTGGCTCACAAAAATTGTTGGTAGGGCCAAGAAATAAAGCAAGATCTCCAGGTTTCTAGTCTGAGGACTGCCCCACCATACCTGATTACCTCCCTGTATCACTGATTTGTGTCTATACCACATCTCTGTAGCCACATTTTCAAAGAAAATCCTCTGTAAGCAGAGGGCCCCTATGGATAGAAGGAAATTTAGGAACCCGCAAATACGGAGGCTTGTGAGAAATTAAGACAGCTATGGCAATTTTACTACTAACTAAACCATATGCTCTTAACCAAGCTAAGGCTGTGATTTAAAATAGATGCTTACTTCAAAGGTTTTGTTGACAATACATCATTTTAGACCATGTGTCTTTTGAGTGGTGTTCGGATTCCAATGTTTAATGAATTGGAATACTTGGGTTCTGATAACTTCATCAATCTTTTAAAAGATAACCTCTGGTTAATTGTATATAAGTCCGAAAAAGATAAATATGGGACAAATTGCTTAATCATAGTTCCCAGGCCATGAAATTTGTGAAGTATGGTTGGAAAGAACAAAAAGGAAAGGTTGAAAACTCACAGTGTCTGAGTCAGCATCAGGCACATTTAGGTAGGTCCACTTCCTGTCAGAACCTGCTTGAGAATTCTTTAGAGAAGTCATCCAAAGATCAAAAGAAAAAAAGCATCAGAGCAACAGAAATCAGAGAAGCCAAGAAAAAGACTTACAGACACACAGTTAGATACAAGGACACAGGGCCTTCCTCTCAGAAAAGGCCTTGAACACTAACATAAGAAAGGACTTTATTTTGTGGGCAGTGGGAAGCTATTGACGGGTTTTGAGTAGCGGACAGACCTGATTGGGCACGTGTTTTAGGAAAATGACTGGCAGCAGTCTGGAGGACAGTTGGGGAGTTTAGAGAATGGTGTCAGGGAAATGTGTCAGCAGATAATTGAAAAATAATGTATAGGCTTGAGCTGACTGAGCCTGAACTAGGGAGTGAGGAGATTTTTAAAACTTGGGTGAGGACTGTGGAAGAAGGAAGAAATCAGGAGCCTGAGAAAAAACTCAGACCAAATTAGACTGAAAGGTACTCTGTGGGCAAAGGGCAAGCAGGATCTTATAATGACTTTTAACTCGTTATCACATATTGTTCTAAGAACATTTATATCTCCTTTGGAAATGCACAGAAAATCAAAAAGAGAGAAAAGAAACTTTCCGCATGTCCTAGTGAACTGCTTACAGTTGATAGGCCACTTGCCAGACTGTGGGTGTTTGTAGATAACTGCGAGGACACTAAGGCATCAATGCTTTCTTCAGTCTCTTCCAAGGAGTCCTAAAAAAGAAGGGGAAAAATCAGTGGGTTGGTCTATTTGTTTTTCTAGAATGTCTTTTCACTTGAAAAACCACTTTCTTTCATAAATCTTTGAGAATCAGATAAAAATATCTAGAAATCACTCCGTTCCTAGGTTTTCCTCTTTTTCTCTCCAGTCAATCTGAATTATACCATCGGAGAAGCGGGCAGGGATAGTGGGTGGAGAGTGGGGTCTCCTTTCTAATGGTGCTTACTTTATGGAAAGAACATGAAATTTGGAATCATACAGACCTGGGTTCAATTCCTACCTCTAAGGTGATTCATGTTGGGCAATGTACTTACGTTACTTTAAAATTAAAAAAAAAAAAATTGTGTGCACGTGCGCGCGCGCACACACACACACACACACACACACACACACACACACTGCCAAGGTGGTAAAGTATATCCCAAAAATCTCTCCACTAGGTGAACTAGATACTGGATTCTCATCTCAAATCCCAGATTCTACTTTTCCTTTCCCGTTTCTTTTTCTCCTTCATGATAAAGTGGCTTTTTTTTGCCTATTTATTTAAGCAATATATTTTCCTAGTAAAAACATTTTAAGCAATATAAATAAATGGAAATTAAAAACTTAAGTCTCTCATTAACATATTAATGATCAATTCCAATATTTTTGATTATATGATCACATATATATATACGCACATACACATATACACATAGATAGATTATATCATGCATACTGCTTTTTATTATGGGCACTTTTCTTTTTTGCTTCTCCTCTCCTCCTTCCCCTCCTTTCACACCAGGTGAAATTAATATTTGGCATCCTGCTGCACATATTATATTCCATATCTTTCTCCTTGTTTATGTGAAAAATCATATAAAAACATACACACACAAATCTAAGTATACATTCATGGGAATTTTTTTAACTATTGTTTTACAAATCAGGATTATGATGTACACTTCTGGGCTTGCTTTAAAAAAGTGTTTATTATAAGATGCAGCATATTAAAAAGTACATAAAATGTAGATGTAGAGTATAATAACAACATCAACTGATCAAGCAGAAGCTCCCTGTGTATCCTGTCCATATCACAAGCCCCTTCTCCCCCAGGGAATAATTAGTATTTTAACTCTTACGGTTAACCACATCCTTGCTTTTATTTATAGTTTAACTGCATAAGCATGCACTCTGAAACAAAAAGGTTTTGTTTTGCCTGTTTTTGAACTTCATGTAAATGCAATTAAATGCTACACATTCCTTTGCATTTTGCTTTTTTTGCTTAATATTGCCTTAAAATTCATCAAAATTGTGGCATATTTTTGCAGCCCATTCATCTTTATTATCATTTAATATTCCATTGTATGATATCCAAAACTTTATCCATTCTCTTGTTGCTGAATATTTGGGTTATTTTCAGATTTTTTTCTATTGTGACCAACACTTATATGTATATTCTGTGAATATGTATCCTGGCGCATATACACACAACACAGTATATATATTCACACACTTGAATATATACCAGTGAGAGGAATTGTCAAGTCATGGGGTGAGCATATCTCCACATGCTTATCTACATCATTTTAAAGATAATGTCAAATTTTCAGAAGTAGTTATACCAATTTACAGTCTAATCAGTAGTGTATGAGAGTTCCTGTTGCTCCACATCCTTGCCTGCAAACAGACGGTATTGTTAGATTTTTTTTCATTTTTGCCAATCCAGTAGATGTTTACGGTCTTCATGATTTTAATTTCCATTTCTCTTTTACTAAGTTGAATACTATTTTGTGATAGTTGGCCAACTGGATTTCCTGTTTTGTGAAATACTTGTTCAAAAATTGCTTATTTTTATATTGGTTTATGGTAAGTTGTCACTTAACGGCATCCATAGGTTCTTGAAAACTGCAACTTTAAGTGAAAGGATGTGCAGCAGGTCCTCAAATAATGTCATTTTATTAAAACACTGATGAGGGATAAAAAGGTTTTGTTATACATCATTTTGCTGAAAGTGGCAGTTTCCAAGAATCTGTTGATGACGTTAAATGAGAACTTACTGTAGTTGCCTTTTTCTCACTGATGATCCCACAAGATGAGTTGGAATATCTTGTAGAATAGCATCTTGTAAGAAAGGGCTGGCTTCATGGATGAATTCTTCTGAACATTTGAGGAAGAATTAATGCCAATTCCTGTCAAATTCTTCCAAAAATTGAAGACGAGGGAACACTTCCAAACTAATTTTATGAAACCAGCACTACCCTGATAGCAAAGTCAGACAAGGATACTACAAAAAAAAAAAAAAAAAAAAAAAAAAAAAAAAAGGGACAATTGCAGGCCAATATCCCTGATTAACCATAGATGCAAAAATCCTCATCAAAATGTTAGCAAACTGAATTCAGCAGCACATGAAAAAGCTCATTCAACCTGACTAAGTGGGATTTATCCTTGGAATGCAATGATGGTTTAACATAAACAAATCAATAGTTGTGATAAACTGCATTAACAGAATAAAGGATAAAACCCATATGATCATCTCAATAGATGCAGAAAAGGCACTTGACAAAATCAACATCTCTTCGTACTAAAAACTCAACAAATTAGATAAAGAAAAAATTTACCTCAACATAAAATCATACAGGGCAAGCTCTTAGCTAGCATTATACCCAACATTGAAAAGCTAAAAACATTTCCTCTAAGATCAGAAAAAATACAGTATGCCCACTCTTACCAACTCTACTCCATATAGTGCTGGATGTCCTAGCCAGAGCAATCAAACAGGGAAAAGAAATAAAAGGCATCTAAATTGGAAAGGAAGAAATAAAATTGTCTGTTTGCAGATGACATGATTTTATATATAGAACACCCTAAAAACTTCAGCAAAAAGCTGGCAAAACTAATAAGCTCTTTAATTCTGAAAAAATGTATCCCTATTATTTTTTCAAATTGTCCCTTTTCTATATTTTTATGTTTTGCTCTTTCTCGGTGTACAATTACCCAGTGATCATCACATAAAGTACCAGTCTTCGTATTTCTTTACTTTCTTTTTAAAAGTGGATATTAAAAAATTCAAACATTCACAAAATAGAAAGAATAGCATAATGAACCCTTATAACTGATTACCCAGTTTTAACAATGATCACTTTTCCAGCTATTTTCCTTGCTGCTTATTTTTTCTCCCACAACTTTATTGAGGTATGACTTGCATACCATAAAATTTACCTATTGTATGTATGCAATTCAGTGATTTTTAGCAAATTTAGAGTTGAGCAAACATCAACATAATCCAGTTTTAGTATATCATCAATCCAATAAGTTACCCCATGCCTGTTTGCAGTCAGTCCCTACTTCTTCAGTCCCTGGCAACCATTACACTGCTTTAATCTCCCTATCAATTTTCCTTTCATTGACATTTCATATAAATATAATTATATGATATATAGTTTCACCTGGTTTCTTTCACTTAGCATAATATTTTCAAGGTTCATCCATGTTGTAGTACGTGTCAGTACTTCATTTCTTTTTACTTCTGAATAATATATTATTGTATTCCATCTATTCACCAGAGTATTATTTTCACTTTTTGTTTATTACGAATAATGCTGCTATAACCACTCGTGTGTAAGTCTTTATGTGGACATACGTTTTCATTTCTCTTGGGTAGACACCTAGGATCAGAATTGCTATGTCATGTAGTAAATTTATATTTAATTTTTAAAGAAATTGTGAAACTCTTTTACGGAATGGCTGTAGGTAGCATTTTGCATTACCACTAGCAATGTAGGGGGGTTCCAATTTCTCTGCATCCTCATTGACACTTATTATTATGTCTTCTTAATCACATTCATTCAAGGGGATGTGAAGTGGTGTCTCATTGTGATTTTAATTTTTGTTTCTCTGATAACTAATGATGCTGAACATATTTTAAGGTGGCTATTAGGCATTTGAAAATCTTCTTTGATTAAATGTCTATCCAAATCTTTTCCCCATTATCTAATAGGATTATTTGTCTTTTTGATATCGAATATAAGGGTTTTAAGAAATATGTTCTAGATACAAGTCCTTTAACAAATATATAATTTGAAAATATTTTTCCAGTCTGTGGCTTGACTTTTCATGTCTGTAATGTTGTCTTTTGAAGTGTAAACATTTTTCATTTTGATGAAATTCAATTTATCGGTGTTTTTTTTCTTGAACACATGCGTCATGCTTTTGGTGCCATATCTAAGAATTATTTGCCTAACTCAAAGTCATGGAGATTTTCTCCTAGGTTTTCTTTTAGAATTTTATGGTTTCACTTCTTACATTTAGGTTTATAATCCATTTTGCGTTACTTGGTTTCTGTATGGTATATGTTAAGAGTCAAAGTTCTTTTATGTTTTGTGGTATTTGGATATCCAGTTGTCCCAGTATGATTTGTTGAAAAGGTTATTCTTTCCCCCACTCAAGTACCAAAAATCAATTGGCCATAAAGTTTTTTTATTTTCCTGAAATCTCAATTCTATTGCATTGATTGCCAATGCTTATGTCAATACTGTGTTGTACTGATAACTATAACTGTAGGGTAAGTTTTTAAATCTAGTAGTATAAATCTTCCAACTTTGCTCTTTAAAATTGATTTTGTTATTCTGGGTCCCATATATTTTCATATAAATGGTAGAATCATATTTTCTATTTCTACGAAATTATCCTGCTTGTATTTTGATGGGTTTGCATTGTCTATACATTTATTTGGAGAGAATTTCCATCTTAAAAATATTGAATCTTCTAATCCATTAACACAGAATATATTTCTATTAATTTAGGTCTCCTTTAATTCAGAAATATTTTTGTTAATTTCAATGCACATGTCTTAACTTTTAAAAATGAATTTATTCCTTACTTTTGAAAATTATTTTTCATGCTATTATGAATGGACTTATATTCTTAATTTCATTTTCCAATTGATTATTGTTAGTATATATAAATACAGTTGATTTTTGTGTATTGATCTTATCTCCTGCAACCTTGCTGAACTTATCAGTTCTAGTCATATTTTTGTAGATCCTTTAATATCTTCTACATACAGAATCATGTCATTTTCTTCTTTAGTATATTGATGTAAATTATGCTGACAAATATTCTTATATAGATTGATTCTTCCACCCATACTTAGCATAAAACTTACTTATTGCTATTTTTATTCACTGCTAGATTTTAACTGATATTATATTTAAAGTTTTGCATATATATTCATAAACTAGTTTGACTTGTAGTTTTATTTTTTAAACTATTTTAAAAATCAAGTCTCAGTGTCAAGATTATACTGGCTGCATACAATGAATGTAAAGATTTTAATGGTTTTCTAAGATCAGGAATAGTTTAATAGTTTAATAATGTTGGAATTAGTAATTCTTTAAAGGTTGAACATGAGTAAGCTTTGAAATAATTTGATCTCACTGCCTACCTCTCTTTTGGAGGTAGATTTTAAAGTATTTTCCCAGTTTTTTGTACTATAGAAAATGTTATTTCATTTTATAACTCTAAGTTTCCTATTTTGCTTTGGAAAAACTATCAATACCATTTTACATTTGTGTTCTATTTCTTCCAAGGAGTCCAAATTTTATTATAGCAATTACAGAAATCTGAATATCAGAATATTAGACTGGGAAATAACCTTTACAATAATCTAATTTAACCTTCTCATTCTAGAAATGAGTTCACTGAAGCATTAATTTTTGCATAATTTTGTCTCAGTTTAGAAGTGAATTTATTAGTGGTAACTTGAGATATAGCAATGTTCATATAAATATGTAATCAGATATGCCTAATAATATTTGGCTTAGGAAAATGCTAGGATCCCTTATTTCCCAGGTTTAGATTAAGTGATAAGCCTTTAGCCGGAAACCGAAATCCCCAACATGTGTTTTCTTAGACATAACCTTCACTCATTAACATGATTAACCATTACGTTTTCTAAGTTATTCTTTCTGTGTTTATGCGTTGACTGTGAAGACTAACAAGAAGAGATGATTGTATATCCTCTCTTTACTCTCAACTCATCATCACCTAAAAGTGTAACCACTTGCAGCAAGATTATGCCCTTATTTCCTCCTCATCATTATAGTTTCATCCAACTTACCTTGTCTAAAGTCCCAGGGACAGACTTGCTTCTTATGCTTACTGTATCCTCTAAGTCTTCTGTAAATGACTCACTCAAATCTAACTCAGATCGACTCCGATCTGGAAGGTGGAAAGGAAAAAGAAAGACGTGAGTCATCATATTTTGTGAGAAGATTTCATTTTTTATTGTTAGTGTTTCACCTTTATTTCAGTTCTTTTTAGGCACAGATCATAAATGTGCCATGAAAGCAACAGTCGGAGTCAGTAACTTCATGCTGTTTATGACAACATACTTCCATTTTTAATAATATTTTGGTAATTGCCTTGGACCAAATTACACTTATGTGTTCATGTTTCCTTCTATCACAGGAGGTTAAATGTTTTACTGCAAAATGCTATGTTTTAAGCTGTTTAAGGCAACTGCTTTGCTCCTAGACTTTAAAAAACTCTCTTAGACTGGGCCCTTAAATTTAGAAAAAAATAAAACCTTAACAATTCTTGCTTGCAATATTTAGAGAATTCACTGTGTTTTCAGATTTGACATAAAATTCAATGCAACTGATTCTAAACTGCCACTTTGAAGTGATATAGCAAGTTCCTTTCACACAAAGAGGAGACGCTGTAGATGCAACGAGAGGAAGTTCTATTTCTTAAGGGACCAAAACATTCTTTCATCAGAAGAACATCTTGTTTTCAGTTTTGAAAATATAAGTTACAGAGCAATACACCTCTTAGTAATGCTGTAGACAGCTTACCAAGTCAGCGCAGCTTATTTCCACAAAATAGTTCTATACCAAAGCACTACTGAGATTGATATAGTTACTTTTAAATGAGAAAGATTGGAGAGAGTAATCAAGTACTTAAGTTTGAATTGATGAAAAAAATAATGCAGAAGTGCTTAGCATAGGCCTGACACAGGGTATGTACTCAATTAACAGGAGTTGTTGAGTCGAAGTAGTAATAGAAGTAGACCCTATGATGTTGGTTTCTAAACTAGTTTAAAAATTTAATTAACAGGTGAACAGCTTTTTTACTCCTGAGCAAAATGTAGCAATAACCACACACATTTAGAAAACCCTTTGGGAGCTGGCTGGCTAGAACAGACTCCTCAATTCAGCATACAGAATCCTGCCTTAGGCTTTATGCATATGTCATCATTAGGAACACGTAACTTTTTAATGTTGAAGATTTCATCATAATTTTTATTCCATGCATGGGACATAAGCTTCATAATTATGACAAATTTCTCTGAAGAATTTTCTTAGTCATAGGTATTAACATTTCAAAATGAATAATAGCTGCTTCAGAGGACAGTCGTGATAATGAAGTAAAATGACATATTTGAGTGTACTATGCAAATGAAAGGGGTAATTATTAATATCTTAGTGCTGCTTGCAAATAACTTCTTATTTAAACCGCAGAATGATTTTCTTTTGTCTTTATGTAGGAAACTTCTGACCACTATGTCAATTGAACTACCATTTCCTTGAACTCTGAGCTAGTATTCTTATCTGTCATATCAAAAGTATCTTGGAACCGTTTATATTCCCTACATTCAAATATTGATATTCTGATGTAGCACTGAAACTCGGTGACGATGCCTGGCAAGAGTATATACTAAATAAGTGGAATTTTCACAAACGTAAGGTGCCCAAAGCATTACCTGGGTCTATCTTCAAGCAGTTCTTATGGAGTGGCCTACCACCATAGGTCAAAGAAGGGATGCTTACTTTTTAAAGTATGAGACATCCATTTAATACCATACATATCAGTCAATTCCATTAGTTTTAGTCATTTTAAACAACAGAGTAGGCACGTTGTAAATACCCACCTGAGGAGAGAGAGGTTCCAGACACTGCTATGGAAGGTGTGCCAGAAGTGTTTCTGCGGTGACTCTTTGTGAACTCCTGAGAGGTACCTTCAAGAGCAGCCAAATCTGTGGAATTTTCAAAACCATACTCCTTCCCACAAAGTAAAAATGAGAAAAACAAATTATACTGACTGTAATTTACTACAAAATTCATCTATATAAAATATACTCCAGTATAAACACCTTTATAGGTATTACTATTTAGGAGGACCTAACTGACATTTGAAGGACCCTCACCAGGAGTCCATGTAACTCCAAAATTTACCATCAATAACTGCTATCCAAAATCTATTCCAAGAGGTTTGTTAATTAGTGCAAAAGGTATCTGGACAATTTCTCATTCCCCAAATTAATGAGTGTTCTAATATATGATTAATAAGAAAGATTATACAGGTACCCTCAATCTTATATGAACTATGTATAATAATCTGGCAAGATTCAGGCTTAAAACTCTGTTTGGTCCTATTTTGTTCCCTCTTTCAACATACCCTCTCTTCAACCATCCCTTACCTCTTCCACTCCCATTTAACAGAACACCATGTACCTTTTCCATCTAGAAGGCTGGCTGGTCAGAATATGGATGGTTACATCTATTTTGGAATGACTTTCATGCCTGGTACTTATCAATGTTCATAAAAAGATAAAGAGAGAAAACTTCCCAAGTTCACAGGAATAGTATTCTTTTGTGTGGTGTCTGCTTGTTAACAAATGCTTGTACATGTGGCAGAATTCAGTCTGGGACTTGCTTTTATTGTAACACATGTTAAAGAAAATTCTGTCCCAACTTTGCCCATGACCATAGACCCAACTTTGTCTGTGACCTTTGCCCTGCCATAGACCAAGGCAGGGCTTGACTGCTGCCTCATCTGAAGCTTGCTTGAGTGTTAAAACAACAACTACAACAAAGTTTGGACCTTTCCAGAACTGGGCTGAGGTTAAGTGCCCATTCAAATTACATCATGGTATGATAACGATCAAATCTAAAACAGATTTTTCACTTCTCCCTTCTATAAACAATCAAAAAGTGCCTTTTGAAACCCTAGAGGAAGAATTTCCTCCCTGTTTCCCATATCTTAGACATTCAGGAACACTTTGATGAACTCACTACAGTGAAATGTGGCTTTCACTTGCTTAACATGCTAATTGATTCAGTTTCAATTTAGACTGTTTTTAGTATCTTATTATTCTCCAACATATAATACCTGTAGCAGGAGGTATATAGCTTCTAACTTCCTCTAATTGCCATAGACAAGCAAAGTTTATCAAGAGTGTGACAGAGGTCAATTTGATAAATTAGTTTAGGTCAATTTTCAACCTCTTCAAAAAGTTGTTCACACATGGAGTCCTCTAATGAAGCAAGACCAAGTTCCTTGGAGGCAATTATGTTAATGGCAAGTTTTCCCACAGGTGATCTGTGAGTATCATTAGTATTGTGCAATAATAGGCCAATTAATATTACAGTGTCATTAACAAGCAATACATACCCCAGAGGTTCAGGATGTCAAGTCTAAAATTAATAGGTTACATCATAGTAGAGGACAGGTTAGAGACTTTCATGCTCTAAAAGTTTTCTGTGATGGTTAATATTAGGTATCTACTTGATTGGATTGAGGGATGCCTAGATGGCTGATAAAGTATTATTCTGGGTGCGTCTGTGAGGGTGTTGCCAGAGGAGACTGACATTGGAGTCAGTGGACTGAGAGAGGAAGACCTATTCCCAGTGTGGAGTGGGCACCACCCAATCAGCTGCCAGTGTGGCTAGAACAAAGCACATGAAATAACAGGGATAAGCAGCTTGTTTGCTAAGTCTGCTCACTCTTTCTCTTCCCAAGCTGCACCAGACACTTGGCTTCCTCTCCTCCTGTCCTTGGACATCAGACTCCAGGTTCTTCAGCCTTTAGACTCTCGGACTTACACCAGCAGCCTCCCAGGGGCTCTTGGGCTTTCAGCTTCAGACTAGGGTTACATTGTCAGCCTCCCTGGTTTTGAGGCATTTGGACTTGGATTGAGCCATCCTACTGTCTTCTCTCTTTCCACAACTTGCAGACAGCCTATCGTGGGACATTGTCTTGTAATTGTGTGAACAAATTCTCCCTAATAAACTCCCTTATATATATCTGCATATATCTTATTGGTTCTATCCCTGTGGAGATCCCTGACTAATATATTTTCTTTCATGCTAAAGCAGAAAAGAACATTGAAACAAAGAGATGCTAAGAAATGGGAGAAATTGAGAAGTTGTTACCTTGTTCATCATCTAATGCTATATACTTCCCATCTAAGGCTATATACTTCCCTGTATAATGAAAGAGCAAATGTACTTCATAAACTACTGTGCTGTCTTGTTTTTATTCAATAGAAAGTTCTTCTCTTTGTTTCTCTTTTTTTCTCTTAGAAAAGACCAACTTAGACCATGTAGATTGCAAGAATGAGCTCAACATAGGCACTGCCTACATATATGTACATATAGTCTACTAAATTGCAGGGAATTTCTGTTGGGGAAATCTGGGCGCTGTTAAAGAAATACACAAGTAGGGGCTGTTAGTTTTGAGGGTATTAGCACATGAAAAGGGTGATTTCCCCCCCTAATAATCTCAAATTGTATGTAGGAAGATAAACTTTGTTGTGAGAATAAACTTGATTAACTTATTGGTCATTGGACTGATTGTCAGCTGCCACCCACTGGGACAACTGTACTAGATGTAAAATTTTTAAAAATATTTCTGTGCCAGTTGATTAACAGCACTACTCCCAGTCCACCCCCCCACTTCCCTGTGCTCACCCTCATCCATAAGCCCAGGTCTCCCCATAATTCAGATCTAGTGCATGACATGGAAGGGTCCCCAGGATACTGCCCCAGCCTTGTGCCAGTGTCTGTTGTGATTTCTCAACGTCCCTGCCAGACTGGTCACTAAGTAGTTTGAATATCAGTCCTCTTTAGATTCCAAGAGTTGAGTGTATTCGTCAACTATCCATGCACCTTTCTAGCTATTGAACAGAAATGGCTTGCTGACCTTAGCATAAATATTTATGAAATTTTAAATATGCCTTTTATCTTAGCAACTACGAGTTAGACTATAAATGTTTAAATAAATCTATTATTGTTGTTCAGTCTGTCTGAATGCCTTAACAGAATTTGACTACTCGCCACCTCCACTATCTCTTTGTTTCAAAACCCAGTCTCTCACATGGGGTATGACAATGGCTTACTGATTGCTTTTCTGGCTTTCACTCTTGTTCTCTACAGCTGGTTCTCAGCACAACCCCCAAATCCTGCTTAAAGAGAAGGCAGATTATGTTACTCTTCTGCTGTAAAACCTCCAGTTTCCCCCATCTTAATCAGTGTGAATGCTGACTGCACACATCACTCTTCAAGGCTCTCTCCAGCCCTATGACCTCTTTGGATTCATTTCCTAGTTCACTTTGCCTCATTCACTCACCACAGCTGCATTGGCCTCCTTCCTCTTCCTTGAACATACCAGGTGTGCTCCCACCTCAGGGGCTCCACACTGGCTGTTCTTCTAGAGGCATTAAAAATATTTTAGAAACTGGCTGAGCAAGGGCACTGACCAATCAAGATGGAGGCCAGCTACAAGGAAGTGGAGCAGCCTTCCCTGCATGTACCTGCTAAATATCAGTGCTGTCTCTGCCTGGTGGAAAACCGTGCCCCAGAAAACTACATTGCTAATTCTTTCACTTCCTTCAAGTCTTTGCTTGACTAGAGTCTGTTATATAGTAGGTTCTCATTAAATGTTGGTTGAGTCAAAAATTGTTTGTATTGTATGAACTCACTGCTCACATAAAGATTTATCAAATATAGATGCCAGCAATGGATGGAGCTTCCTGCTAAATAAAAAAATCTAGTATATGCTAATTCATTCCAAATACAACTTCCAGTGGAATATTTAATAAAAGAGAACATTTTTCCCAAAATAGTTTTTTCATATTCTTTTAAAAGAGAAAACCAATAGAAAATATAATTGATCACATATATATATATATATATAAAATACAATTTAAGCCTTCATTATATGTTGACCCCCTATTTTAACAGATGTATAGAAAACTATAAAAATTTCTACTTTAAAAACTAGATAACAGTTCTACTTTTCCAGATTTAAAACAGTTTGGAAAAATTTGTGCACTCAACCTATGAATATTTTCTCTAAAGAGTAACAGAGAGGATCAAAATCGGAGCCTTCTAAAATGTTCTATATTTATTTAAACCATATAGCAATTTAAACCTCCATCATACAAGTACTACCTTTGAATCTGGTCTTTCCCTTCCCTTTTTCACTTTGGGTTTCCTTCCAGGAGCTAAGATGCAGGAGGTTCAGTCCTGATGAAGCTTCTACCTTTAAAGAGCATAAAGAACATGCTCTGATATATAGAGAGTTGAAACCTAGCCACGATGCAGTGGTGAGGTTGAATTTCAGAGACTCCGTGTCTGATATGGTTTGGCTCTGTGTCCCTACCCAAATGTCATCTCGAACTGTAATCCCCACAATCTCCATGTATCGAGGGAGGGACCTGGTGGTGGATGATTGAGTCATCAGGGAGCCTTCCCCTGTGCTATTCTGGTGATAGTGAGTTCTCACGAGATTTGATAGTTTTACAAGTGTTTGACAGACTCCTTCTGCCATGATTGTAAGTTTCCTGAGGCCTCTGCAGCCATGCGGAACTGTGAGTCCATTAAACCTCTTCTGTTTATAAATTACCCGATCTCTGGCAGTTCTTTATAGCAGTATGAGAACGAACTAATACAGTGTTCATCAGGTTTGTATACTTACTCTACTAATGACTGAGGTCACACTTCGTGTGCTTGGGGCTGGAGACCTCTGAGTGACTGGGGTGACACCACTGCTCCTACTGCTCTTTGGGGTCCTAGAACCAGCTTCTTGGTCATTGAGATCTGATGAGCCAGTGCTTCCCCTAAATGAGAAAGCATATTCTGACTTTAACATGGAAGCAGAGCAGCAACCAAATACACAGGCAGAGTAAAGCTGACGAGGAAACTGATAAGAACATGTGAACCACACTGAGTTCACAAGAGTCACACTGGAACTGCTCAGAAACTATCATGTCACCTTCCTCCTCAAAGACCCTGAGGGTATCACTAGATTTGTCTCCATTTGCCTGACTCCAGGGTCACTGTAATTAAACTTCACCCCATCTTTCTGATTTTGTTTCCTTCTGCTTACCAGCATTCTCTCAGCCAGTTTGGTTCCTTACCATTTTCTCAACTCGCCATCTTGAATTCCACCTCCTGAGGCCTTTTCTTACCTTTTCTCCACCTGTTATGCCCTCTTAACCACTCTCCGTCTATGCAAATCTTTCTCAGTCTTCAAAGGCAAATGAAGTCCAGCCTTCCCCATTAGGCCTTTCCTGTCAGGCAGAAGCCTTGTCAACCTCTGTTCCACTCAGTTCCTATTGACTTATGGTCTTTGCTTGACTACTGTATTTAGTACTTGACGGCACAATGTCTTGTTTGGCTCCCTAGTGGATCCACATATGAGAGCTTGGGTGTTTCATTAAACTATGAGCTCCTTGGGAACAGAGTCTATGCCATAATTATCATGTATCTCCAGCAGCTTTGTAGTGACTTAGTACAAAGAAGCCACTCAATACATATTTAATCAAAGATTAGAAGTTATATTTCATTTCTCTGTGTTGTTTTAGTGTCTAATTCATGGTGGACATTTAATAAATATGGTACAAAAATAATGACATTTGGTAAATGAGCTTGAATCACTTTCATGTGTGCTAAAACGATTCAATTCAATCCAATAACAATAAATGAAAAAGCAGTTCCTGCCCTTGAGGTGTTCACAATTTTCTTATTAAATGTGCTTCATAAGTCAACATAAATTTTGACAAATTGCAGTTTAAGAGAAGTGTTTGTTCCCATTTTATCCTTTTTCCTCAGTAGGCACAAAATACGCTAAGTGGTAAAACAGAAGTCCTTATGAGTTTTACTCTCTCAGTTACTGTCTTAATAAGTTACAAATGCACATATAATAGTACACATCTGGCCGGGCGTGGTGGCTCACGCCTGTAGTCCCAGCACTTTGGGAGGCCGAGACGGGCGGATCACGAGGTCAGGAGATCCAGACCGTCCTGGCTAACACGGTAAAACCCCGTCTCTACTAAAAAATACAAAAAACTAGCTGGGCGAGGTGGCGGGCACCTGTAGTCCCAGCTACTCAGAAGGCTGAGGCAGGAGAATGGTGTAAACCCGGGAAGCGGAGCTTGCAGCGAGCCAAGATCACGCCACTGCACTCCAGCCTGGGCGACAGAGCGAGACTCCGTCTAAAAAAAAAAAAAATAGTACACATCTTATTAGTAAAGCATACCAGCAGTGGTTAATAGTGATGAGGACTTATAGTTAAGCCAATAAGAGGAAAGACTAAATAGAATAAAGGAATATTTTTTAAAAGAATGTTTAAATGTTTAAATGTGCACATATCATTACTAGAAGACAAATCAGGCAGAAGAATAGGCAATGACCATTGGATAGAACTGTCAACCACAACTCCTAAGTGTTTTCAAAGCTGTGCACCAGAGAAGTCACCAAAACCAAATTTGTCCTGGACCACATTACCAGCTACCACTACCTTCAATAATCATGAATAGCAGTGGCATTTACTTAGTATCTTCTAGGCGTTAGCCATTTTCCATCCCCCAATATCCCTGTAAAATGTGTTTTAGAATATTATTTAATATTTTTTAAATGAAGAAATTGAGTCTTGGAGAGGTTAAATAATTATTCCATACATGTATGTGTGCACACACACACATGCATACACACACCGACAAACCACCATGCTATCAGCATAAAAACATTATTATCAGTCTACCCAAAGCCTGTGACCATTCTAGTTTCTCATACTGCTTACTCATCATTTCACTAAGAACAAGTCATTACAGCCTGGCAGGTTTTGCATTTATAGAGTGAACTATCAAACAGAAGATAATCAAAGGAACAAGGAGCTAGGAGTTAGTTTCTTGGGACTTGATTATGAGAATTATGAAAATTTTCTATGTTACTAAAGAGTGGTTACTAAAGGGTGGCATTTCTTTTTTACTAAAGAGTCTCTGCAGAAAGGATCTCTGGCTTCCTCTTTGTAGAGATGGCACTATAAGTAAATTATAGTACTATGGACTCAGCTGAGAAGATGTCTAAGACCGTGTCTGTTGATTCTGACAACAAGAGAGTAAAATTTTGTGATTAAGTAAATTGATACACTTTGGAACTCTAATTTCCTTGGTGATTTTCCTGAACCCTTCTACCTGGAGCATGACATTTCTACATTTGACAACAGTTAGCCACATTTGTACCCTTCCAAGTATTTCCGCTCATCTCAGAGGTCCTACTTAGGAGAGGCATATAGACTTTCCCGTTGATGCTGTACTGTGACCATAGGTTCTCTAGAACAATGTTAACACAAAAATACATCTCCCTACTGTTTCAGGTAAAATCTTCTTTAAAAAGAAAGGGCAGGGGTGAATCTTGCAGAAATGAGCCAAGAAGTTATGAACCAAAGGGACTCATGTGGGTATTTCTGCCTGTGTGTGTGTGGAAGGTCCTCCCAGAGCCAGGTGATTTTGAGAAAGGCCTCATCATGGATTAGCCTTGCTGAAACCAAAAGTGCTACTTATGTAGAAGCTCTGGCAGAAGTTGATTAATTGTGGTGGTGACATTCAAGAGGTTATCCTATAATAAGGAAAAAATTCTTGTGATTGTAAGTCAGCTACTGCAAATTATCATTGCCAGCAGCATTATCTCAAAAATGACATAGACTTTCACATTTGTCCCTGACATTTATTGTGAGCTTCTCAAAAATTTTTTTTCCAGTTGATTAAATTCGGAAAAGGTTTAGTCTAATAAGGCATATTGTCATAAATATTTGGGTGCCAACTCATTTAGAAGTTATGTAAAATATGACATAAAATACATGAATCTTTGCCACTTAAATTGGAAAAGGATAAAAGCTATGTCAAGTCAAAATTAAAGTTGTGAAGTTTAAAGGTCAACTAAGAAAAAGCAATTTTTTGATTCAGCTATCATGTTACTTAGATTTAAATAAAAGGTATGATAAATCAGTGCCAACAAACCTTCAAGCTAAAATGTGGTTAAGTAAAAACCGGCAAGAAAGAGATACATTTATCTCATTCTAAAAGGCCCAAATGTGGGGATATGTCACTGTCTGGGAGTTTGGATATTCTGAGTTGCTGAAAGACACATTTTCCAGATTAGGAAAGAGTTTCATTTACTTTACCTTATGAAATATACTTTAAAAGCCTTCTGTTTTGTTATCTCTAATTCCATGGGTAGGGTAAACACATCCAACAGCAATAATTTCAGTATACTCTTACAATGACCCTGTATGGCAGATGCATATGAATGTTTGTTCCAAGCTAGGGAACTCAGGAGTGGCCAGCCCTGAGATTTGTTTCTTACCTATGAAAACCATCTGAGCCCCTGGCCCTTCTCATGGAACACGGGCCATACCAGGGACTGAGGCCCCGAGTTTTGGGTTAAATGAAGGTCTCCAGGTGGAGGTTGTTTAGGGGGAAGGTTTTAAGTGAAAATGTTATATAAACTACATTGTTATTTGCAAGCGGTTGTGGTTTTCCTGCCCAGCCCACCACTGCTGGACTCTTCCCTGTGTGTAAGATGCTAATAAAATCGTATGTCTCGATTGCTGGCTCTGAGTTTTTTGAACCTGGCAGCTTCCCTATTGAAGTTAATAGGGGTTCAGCACGGCACCATGTTGCTCAAAAACCTTGATAACAGCTTCCCAGATATATCCATTTCTAGACAGAGGATCCAAGGGTAGGGGGCAGAGATTATAATGTAATGAGTTGCCTTTCTGCTTTACATAAAGGTCTCCTAGGAGTTGTAGCCAGGAAATAATTTCCCAGGATCCAACCTTCCCAGGGTGACTGACAGTGTTGAGCCTATTCCCATATGGTTAAATGTGTGCTCTCCTAAGGCAGCACGAACCTGAGAGATCCTAAAACTCACTGGGACAATGAGACTAATGTGCAACACAACACAGAGACAATGCACAATATTCTTTCTGAGGTTTATGAGCTTTCCTAACTTCTTACAGTTATTTTGGATCTACAATGAATATGCAGGAAAGATGGTCAACAGAGACTGCAATTAAAAAGTGAGATGAGCCTGCTAACTGGGAAAGAGATTAACTAAAAATGAATGTAGCTCGATCTTCTAGTCTTTGGTGATCCCCAAGTGCTGTGTCTTTATTAATAGTCTTATGTGAGATGAGTGGCCCTCATCCTCAGACGCACATTAGAAACTCCTGGGGAGCTATTAAAACGCCCATGTCCAGACTATACTAAGGCTAGTCACATGGGACTCTCTGGGTGTGGGTTCTAGGTGCCAGTATGTTTTAAAACTCCCCAGGTGATTCCGATATGTAGCCAAGGCTGAAAACCACTGTGCTAAGCTGTGGATAAAAGTTCATTGATCTCAGACATCTCTCCACCTGCATTGTTCCCTCCCCTTCTACCACTATTTTTTTTTTTTTAATTCAGCAGTACTGACGTGAAAAGAGCTAAGTTGTCCTTGTGGTTCAGACTGTGATACATGGAAGGACACTTTGTCTTAGTGAGTGAATGTGTTGCACTAGGAATCAGCAAACTATGGCCTGTGGACATATTTGGACCCACCAAATGTTTCTATATAGTCATGTGCTTAGAGTAATTTTTACATTTTTAAATAGTTGAAAAAAGTCAAAAGAAGAATATTTTGTGACACAGGAACATTATATGAAATTCAAATTTCAGAGCCCATAAATGAAATTTGATTGCAATTCAGGCAGCCCATTCATTCATGTATTGTCTATACTTCTTCCATGTTCTGACAGTAAAGTTGAGTAGTTGAGACAGAGATCATATGGCCCACA